GATGAAATTAGATATATCATTTCATTCATATAAGATTTTCAAATGTTTGACACTTTATGGAGGAAGTACCACAAAGAGTGAACCCACAAATCTCTAATTAAATGGTTAAGGTTTTACAAAGTTCGATTCAAAGTTTTGTAAAGTATGATCGAAAAGCAGTGGACCTATTTTCCCACATTACTGGGCTTGAATTAATTTGGAAATAATGTAACGATTATCGGACAGATGAAAAGAAATCGACTCCAAATTGTCTGAAACGGATTGGGGCCAAAGAAATCAATATTTCGCAAAAATCAATTTTTCGCAATGTGTCTTATTTACCCTCATTGGTGATCCCACCCATTTTCCATTTCAAATTTCGACGATTTTCAACCAGCTGGGAAATGAGCATACACTATATCACGGAATTGTAACATTGCATACATGTGTTTAAACTTTAAAGACTTAAAGAAGAAAATAAATTCACAATATGTTGTTGTTTTTGTTTTTTTTTTTTATAATTAAAAAAGTCCTTCTTTTGGAGAGCGGGCATGATTGCTGATCACTGGAACATCCGAATGTCAAAAAGAGACATGTATGGCTCTGGTATGAACTAGGATTATTGTCTTCGGAAAATCGTATATTTTCGACCAAACACCAAGTGGGGAAATATGGAAGATCTTGATCAATTACATTTACCCTAGTGCATACGATAGCTATGTACGTCCAGCATAACGTGTTAAAATTTGGAATCAATTGAATTAATTTGTTTCAAGGAAAACACGTTTAAAGTTTGAGCATGATGCTGACACTACAAATCGGCTATATTTTCAAGAGTTGTTGAGACCGTTATTAATAATTTTAATAATAGGATTGAATATATAGCCGATATATAACATTACCGTCTCCAATCAATCCCCCCATAATGACGAAAATATGGGGCTATGCCGAAACGCGGTCCGAAATATCCTCCTAGAAGTGGTAGCAATATTTGTACAAAATTTCAAAGCTCGATCCTAAACGGTACACAGAAACAAATGTTAATGAATATCTTTATAATTCATTGATTGTTTATTTTTTTCATATTGTACATGTAGCTCGCTTAAAATACCAGTAAAAATTCCTATAATCATGAAGAAGCCACCCGCAGCTTACACAATAAAATGATTATATCTTCAAAAGTTTTTGAAATGTTCACTTTAAACATTAAAGAGATAAAAATCAAAAATTTCAAACCGAGAGTGGAGGTCCCCATAATCATAAGGCTGAAATATAACTCAAATCTAGACACAAACAATTTTTAAAACTTTTCCAATGTAATTCTAACTTTGTTTAGAATATTTTGCCAAAAATATAATACGGTGGTAGCTATTCTACATCCGATACTGATATAAAATATTACGCCAATTTCCATCCAAATGGGTTGGAAATGCGGCATGAGAATCATGTCTTCCACTTAGTGAATACACTTCTTAAAACTATTTTAGTTACTTCTCTTCGTAGCGATCGTGGACCATCGTTATAATTGTGTTTAAGGATAGAAGGGCGAAAGCTTGTTGGGAAATTGTAGCTTTTATCGTTTAAGTTTTGAGCATTCTATTCAGTTAAAAAATGAACGGAAATGTGCATGTAATTTCTCATTAATTATACATTTCAAAATATCTCGAAAACAGTAAAGTGTTTTTTCCAAATTGTGTGTAACCAAGAAAGTCAATACGGACTTAACTGAACAATGAATAATACAATTATTACAAAATAATGCTGACGGTAAAATTCATATTACAACAACAATAAAATTTACAACTAAGCATAAGAAGAAGTTTAAGCAAAAAGTATTGCTGTTGGACATATTTGAGGTATGTGAGTAAATCGTTTTTTTCCACTTCTGTATTTTTTTTGCTTTCGTCGAACATGTATAACTCTTGTAAAACATTTTTCAAAAAAAGCCCAACAATAACAACAAAGGTAGGTAATACAAAAAATAAAATAAAATGAACGAAAAAACTATACACAAATCAATGATAATGATTACAACTAAATCACAATGAGTAACAGAACTTGATAAGTGTCGTTTTGTGTGAATGTGTGTGAGTGCCTTAATTGTTAAATTACTATTTTTGTTGTTGTTTTTGTAAATTACAAAAGACCCACACACTTTTCGCTTAGGTTTACAAAATCCAACTCTATAACATTTTTGACCCAATTGTAGTCGGTGGTCAGCTATTGACAAGTGTTTTGACGTGCAATAGTACTACGAGTCAGAAACATCTCTCTCTCTCTCTCTCTCTCTCTCTGTCCCTTCCGCTGCTAGTAGTCCATCGGAACTGTTTCGTTGTTGTTTTTTAATTTTTATTCCCCAACAAAGAAAATAATTTGCAATTAATAATAATTATTTTTCTTATTGTTGTTGTTGTACGAAACAAAGTCAATAACCTTTTAGAATATTTATTTATTCTGTAAGCAGGCATAACAATAACAATATTAATAACAGCAACAACAAGAACAAGTACAACAACAGCAGCAACGGCGGCGGCAAGAGAACCATTTCCACCACTACCAACAGCAACAATTTACACCCCTTTTGCTCAGTGTTCAAAGTACCATCGATTGTTGTCACCTATTTTTGTGGTTGTTGTAGTTGTCAATTCGTTGATTTTTAAGACAATAAATTTATTTATTTGTGTACGAAATAAAAATAAAGGGATTTTTTAATAAGACAACGTAAGCTTTTATTCTAACAACTATTATATATATTTTTGAAATAATCCGAACTTTGTTAGGTTAGGCTAAGTTACATCTGGGTACGATAAGTTCAAATTAATAATATATAACAAATTTAATTGATTTTTTTCTTTGTTATCCTCTTATTTGATATTTTAATATTATACACCAAATAATTCGATTTTATGAATGCAATTCATAAAACAACAAATTTGGAGTTTGGTGGTGTTGGCGGATTTTCTGTAGTCCAGAAACTATTTGTCGTTTGGATTTTTCAATTTGGATTTTATATTTCATTCATAGTTTTATTTTGTATTGATTTTTCTTACTTACTTACTTACATATTCTTATTTTGCGTCATTATAACAATCCTATACAATGTTAAACTTTCGGTTGGGCTTCTTGTTTGTATTAAAACTTATTTGTTATGTATTTGGAATTTATATCGAAATAATTTGGAAAATAGATATGCGAATTTTATAACACCAATTCAAAGCTCGGTAACAGTGCCAGAAACAATGGATTGCAAAACTAGCCACAATCGAGTGATTGTAAACAACAGAACCGGTTGCAAAACTAACAAAATGGAGTCGAAGAATGAATGGTGTTGCCTTTTTCTTGGAAAACACACATTTGTTTTTGTTAAAAGAGAAGGTGGGCATAACTAAGTGAGAGTAAATGTAACTGAGAATGAGAGTGTTTTACCATTTACGCTAACGTATGATTTTGGGAAGTTTTGAGCATTAATGGTGTAGAGTAGAGCGAAATATGAAAACATTTTTGGTATTAATGAACTGTTTACATTTTTAAAAAAATAATGGCTTTCGCATGATTATAGGAATTTTACTTGTAATCTAAGCGAGATACATCTACAAAAAATAAACTATGAAATAAGTTATGAAAATATTCATTGTTTTTTCTGTGTACCGTTTAAGATAGAGCTTTGAAACTTTGTACAAACATTGCTACTACTACTGGGGTATGTTTCTGTATAGCCCCTATATAATTTTACCTCCCAGGTTTCGGCATTGAAATTTTTATTTTGGTTATCTGTTGAATTCCCCTACGACCAAACTCCTTGTTTTTGAAAAATATATCGTTTATTTATTTTATTTTTTATTATTTATTTATTTTATTTTATTATTTTTTTTTTTTTTTTTTTTTTGAACCAATACACATTTTTTCATAAAGGTTTGGTCGTAAGTCGCTCGAATTCGTTCATTTATAATTTTCCAAAAACAAGCAGTTAATATGAACCTACAACTTATCCAGAATGTCTCATTAAAAGTTCAAGTGAAAATCTCAAAAACTCTTGAGTGTCACCATCAAGCGGCGGCAAGAGTGCTTCTGAAACTATAACTAACTTTTTTTACGATTGGCAGGCACGATAACTCAAAAACTTTTAATGCAATCGGTTCAAAATGTGTATATGTTATTCTGAATCTACATAGCTTTCGTATAAAATAGTATAAATGGAACCGATGAAGATCTTTCCTATTTACCGGCTTGGGTTTTCGTCGAAAATGGGCGATTTTTTAAAATATAAATTTCCTCAGTACGCCATTTTGCTAAGTTTTGAGCGAAGTCAATAATCTTAATTCAAACCGCAGACACATATGTAGTATTTTTAATTGCGTTGGAACTTTTAGATTTGGATGTTCCATTGCTCGGCAATCATACTCGTCATCGAAAAGAAGTTTTATTATTTAATTAGAAAAAAACCACAACAATATTTTGTCAATTTATTTTCTTCTTCCTTAAGTCTTCAAATACATGTATGCAAAGTTACAAGTCCTAAGTATGTTCATTTGCCCGATAGAAACTTGTCGAAATTTGAAATCGAGAAGGCATTTAACGAACCGATCAAATGTATTTTTGTTCAATCTTCCTTGAAATTAAATCTCTCCCTTAAAACGTCAATTGTTCTCAAAAAATTATAGTTATTTAAATTAAACACTCCTAAAAACTTATTTTCTTATCCCCAAAATCTCAATCTCATGACGAATAAAACTAAAATCGCCAACATAAAATATTTTGCAGAAAATAATGTAAACATTTAACCTTTGTAATATGACAAAGGCCAACAGAAATGAAAGGAAAACTCTCCTCTCCCTCTCTCTTTCGCTGTGACTGATCAAACATGACAATGCATATTTTACATTTGTTGGGGGATTTTCATTCGACTGCAACAGCAAATATCAGGGAAAATAAAATTTCACCAAAAAAACAATACAAGTATTAAAAACCCGTTTTTTGGAAGTGATTTGACATTTATAAGAATGCCTACGTTACAAACTTACCTTTTAAAGATCATTGAATCCTTTAATTGAAGACATGATGTGGGTGAAAAGAGGGAGGAAAACGAAATTTATTTAAATTGTTTGATATCCAGTTGAGATTTCCCTTTTTCCCCGAAATAGAAAAAACCGACCGAATTGAAAACCGACAAAATATTTACGGACGGAACGTTATGTCTTCCAAAGAGTTAAATAGTTTTAAAGTATTAAATTTAGTAATTATAATTGTTGAAGGGTTATTATTATCTTTTTTCTCCAAACTTTGACAAAATATTTTCACATTTTATTTTTTGCGCTGTATTTTATTTTGAATGGATGCTGCTGTTTAATTTTCTTCCACTTTTATTTTTTATTGAATAATTTTCACATTTCTTTTTTTTTAATTTTTCTTTCCTCTTTTCCTTTTTGTGAAAAGTGATCGTACATTACACCACGTTAGGCAACGTTACATTTGTTTGTCTGATGACGATGACGACGACAGCGACCACGACGTATTCCTTCCTACCGTTGACCCCGGTTGTATTTTTTCGTTTTTCTTTTTATTTTGTTGTTGTTGTCGTTGCTACTGCTGTTGCATTTATTGTTGTTGTCGTTGTTGACTTGATATCGCGTGCAATCTTACGTTTATTGACCTTGGTATGAGAGCAAGTATGATGATCAATGAACGAACGAACAACCGAACGACCAAACGAATGAGCCACACTCACACAACACTGTCAGCAGCTCTCAGTTGCAGCAAAACCCGATGATCATTAACGAATGCCGTGCGATTTTATTGTTGTTGTTTTTTTTTTTGCTTTGTTATCGTGCTGCACCAGAGTAAAAGTATCCGTGTTCGATGCAATGCAAGTTTGGTTGGCGCTCGATGTCAATTGTTTATGGTTGCGAGAGAGAAAGAGCGTGAGTTAGTACATCCAACAATTAACTCCCCACCAACAAGGAAGAAAGAAGAGTAAGTTTGGTGTGTTGGGGTTTGTTTGGTTTGATTCGAATTGAATTGCTTTTTTATTGTTGTTGCTGTTTGTTTTGGGGGATAACGTAACTTGTATTTACAAAAATTATCGCATAATAGCGGCCAGCAGCAAGAGCACTACACCAATAGATTTTGCAATTGCTGCCACTGACGATGACGTTTCGAGGAGGGCTGCTTTCTTTCTGGACCCTCAAATAACGGGAGTTAATAATTTTTTTGGTTTCTTTTTTACTTTTTTTTTTTTGTAAAAATATCACTTGAATTTATTTGTCACAGACTTATATTTTCGGTAAGGCAGTTAAGGATTGCTGGCGGAATATTATTTAGATATTTGTTTGTTTATTTTTTTAAAGGCATTTATTGGGGATTTTTGTTATTATTTTTTATTTATTCTTAAGGCTAATTTGGCTTTTTTGTCAACAAAAAAAAAAAATTTTTTTAATGAACACAAAATGTTGTTTTTTAGGCAGTAAAGTTGGCTGAACTTTAATGGGATTTAATCCAATTCCCAGTTTATTTTTTTCAAAATTGCACTTTTTTAAATCCACAAATTTTTGGCGCCTCCACCTTAGATGGGTGGTGGTATTGTTGTTGTTAACTTTTGTTGTTATGCGCATAAACAATTTCCGATTTTCAAATAATTTTTGTTTGAATTATTTCCCAAACAACGCACTACACGCTATTTTGCCGTTTGTTTAATTTTTTTTCTACAAAAAAAATTATTTGCTATGCTTCGATTTCTGTTTTCGAAAAACAACCGTTCGATACAAAAGTCCGCGGTAGACTAAACTAACTAAACGTCGAAACATGCCGCTCACATGGAAGCTTACAACAAACCACATCATCATAATCGTCATCATCATCAAGTTCATCACAAAACACACAGAAATTATTGCACTCATAGCGAACTCTCTTCGTTCGCAATCGCGCTCCCCAAATAAATAGCCAAACAATGCCAACCAGGCCTATTGGCGCTCTCCAACTCTTGTTGTGGGGGTCATTGCAAAGCTCTTAAATATTCCAACATTGACGGAGGGGGTTTCTCTTATTCTCTATTTTGTTTGTTTCGCATTGTTGGTAATGTAAGCATGTAAAATACTCTTTGTGTTTATTTAAAGGGAAGAAGATTGTGTTGTAGGGTTTTTTAAATTGTTGTTAAATTTTTAACAACATAACATAATTTGTTATTCAAAAATGAACTTATTTAAAATTTATTATTATTGCCATACCATTTAATAAAATGTTAATGTTGTAAAAAAGAGAATTGCATAAAAGAGCAGAATGTAATGCTTAAAGGTCTTGTAACAGTTGTAGGGTTAATATATAAGTAAATAACTTTTACCCTACAATATTCAGTCTTGCTAAATAGATTTTTTTACTATAATTACGTATAGAGTTTACATTTGGAAAACTACAATTTTGACAGGCTGAATTGAATAAGAAGGAAACTACTAGTAAACTTGTATTCAGCGTGACTTAACGTGACCGCTTACTGCATTGAAACATTTATCCGATGATTAGCAGTAAATACTTTTACAGCTAGGATCAAAATCGTATACTGTATATAAATTTGTATTTGGCCTGGCTGAATAACGTTGACTGCATCTAACTTTTTATTCAGCACGGCTGAATATCATTTTATGTAATTAAACATCTATTCAGCTTTTCTAAATAGCATGTAAAGTTCTATTCACAATGGCTGAATTACGTTTTCTACTATATAAACCTCCATTAAAATTGGCCGAAGAGCCTTTAACTAATATAAACTTTTATTCAGCATGGCTATGTCTGTAAACAGCTATTAAGCAAGGCTGAGTAGCGTTTACTGTAAGTAAAATTGTATTCTGAACAAAGGTAATGTAATAAAAGATTTTATTCAGCACAGCTAAATTTTATTTATTGCATGGGAACTTAAATTCACCGCAACAAAATTTCTATTCGGTGTGGCTGAATAGGGTTTGCTGATTCAGCTTGGATGAATGGTGTTTACTGTAATTAAAATGTTATTCAGCGCTGCTTTACTGTCTGAGAATTTATATTTAGCTCGACTGAAGAGAGTGTACTGTATACAAACTTTTATTCAGCACGTCTGAATACCGTTTACTGTAAGTAAACGGCTGAATTGCGTGGAATGTAATAAAAATTATTATTCAGCGCGGCTAAATATCATTTATTGCATGTGGCTGGATAGAGTTTAGTGAATGTAAACTTTTATGTTTAGCGCGGCTGAAGAGCTTGTACTGTGTACAAACTTTTTTCAGCGCGGCTGAATATCCTTTACTGTTTATAAAGGGACCATTATGAACTGTAAACGCTATTATCAACAGTAATCGCTATTTTTGTACAAACATAAATACCAAATACTTTATTGTTGTTCCTTTACCCAAAGGCTTGCAAAATATGTTTTATTGAGATACCTGATTTACGATTTTTTGCTGATTTTCAAAATATGTATATCAGCTGTTTTAAAGTTTATTTTGAAAATGAATGCCCTACTACGTTATGTGACTTTTAGGGGTTTACACTAACAGCTGGGTGAAGAACCAATGAAACTACACTACAATAAACGAGTAATCATTTTACAGTGGATAGCACGACGACTATTGCGATCCGTTCACACAGTGAATAGTTTCATTGAACCATTTCCATTTAGTCTCCGTCCCACCTCATTCGTAAACTTTCGGTTATACCATTTTGAATTCATCTTTATCGGCCATTTTGTCTTCTCCTCCCATTCGTAGCAGGCGGAACGTTTTTCAATTTTCTTTCGTTCCATTTTTGACATTTTTGTCTAAACCTCATTCGTAAACAACACGGTTTCCATCCATTTAGTCTCCACCCCACCTCATTCGTAAACTTTCGGTTATACCATTTTGAATTCATCTTTATCGGCCATTTTGTCTTCTCCTCCCATTCGTAGCAGGCGGAACGTTTTTCAATTTTTCCTCAGTCAATTGTCGCAATTAAAGGAAATAAAAATTATTGTTGGCAATTTTCTGAGGTGTTGTAAAGTATGTTCAGGGTCGAGAATGAAAGATGTAAAAAAGAATATTCATAAAATGCCCATGTAATTTGAATAATTCGATTTTTTCTTATACGGCGAAAAAACAATACACAGTGAAAATGCTTCTTCTTGTAATTCCTTTGTAATGAACGAACGAATTTAGGAAATTTTCCTTGCTTTGAACAAAGAATCGATAAGCTCACATTGATAATTTTACAAAGTACTGTAATAATATAAAATCTCATCCTTTCTTTCCTAGGTACCATACGAATCTTTACAATGATTTTCGTATCGCTCATAATTGGTTAAGGTTTAAATAAAAGAGGACTAAAGGTCCTTGAAGAAAAACATTGGATTTAGTATATAAATCCTCCGCGGTGTGGTGCAGTTATTCATCAAACATCATAGAAGCAGATATCATAGGATTTTGATATTGGATAAAACGACATCCTTACATTCCCCTCAAGTATAATTTGTACCGGAAAATGGGTGGATCCGTAAGCCAGATTTTCCGTTCTGGATCAGCATTGCTGTCACATCGTGATGGTCATAAAGTTTCGAAAGAAACTACAGAGAAAATCACAACACTATTTGAAATTTTAAGGGCTAATCCGAAAATCTCCATACAACCATTAGAATCCTTGTTGTTAGAAATTCCAAAGGTAAGGTGTATACATATGTATGTATAGAATCTTAACATAATAAATATTCTTATATTTTTTCAGAACGAAAATATTTTAGTTATACACGACGATTGTGGTTTCAATATACTACAACGAGCTGTAGGCCTTAATCATGTCGAATTGACAAAATGGCTTTTGCAGCGCCATAGGCCAGATGTAAACCGCAGTCCATGTTCCCTGCCACTGCATATTGCCTGTCTCAAGGGCCATGAATCATGTGTAGAGCTTTTACTAAAATATGGTGCCCGCATCGAATGTGATTCACGCATGTGTTTTCCCGGTTCACATTCAACCAACTGCGAACTCTTCCAGTGCAATGCCAACAATCATTATGAAGATGTCGAATTTAGAGAACGTAACTTTGATAATTCAAAGTTACAAAATGCCATTTGTTATGCCATTGATGGCGATCAAATTAATGTGCTAAATATATTGGTACAAAAACTGGATGATCCATGGGTGAGAGTGACGAATTGAAATCTAAAAAAAAATATCTTATTAATGGTAAATTTTATATAGATACCATTTCGATCTAAACGTCCAGTGTTTCATTTACTTCATATGGCCTGTGAACGTGGAGCCTGGAATTGTGTACAACAATTGGTGGTAACGCGTTCCGATGAAATAAATCTAATCAAAGATGAATATTATCCCATACATCATGCAGTGTTACACGATATGAGATTTTTGGAATTGTTAATACAACATGGCGCAGTTACCACTGTACGAACATGTACTCAACAATTTACTCTACTGCATATGGGTAAGTAAAATGTGTAGTTTTTGAATACGAGTATATTTCATTGAAATAATTCCCACGGTGACGGGTTAATTCACTCCTTTAAGCATACACGGAAATGTATTTTATTTGTTTATATATTCCTGTTCTATTTTGTAGTGATATTCATTGCAAGAAAATCTGCCGAAGATACTTTAAGTATGTTGAGAATATTACTGGAAAGAGGTTGTAAGGAATTAATCAACGAACCAGATGTCTTGGGTAATACACCATTACATTCCCTGATTGTACGCTATGCCCTAGAGGAGGCAAGGTAAAATATGTTGTTCAGAAGTTTTTGAAATAAGATTTACAAATTCTTAATTATTTATCAACAGATATGGTTATGATAAATGGAGCAAATGGGATGTATTGCATTTAGTTAGATTCTTGCTACAACATGGCGCCAAAAACTCAATAAATCAAGCTGGCAATAGTGCATTGGCTTGCGTCTTTCGTCACATTCGTGATATGGATGTTTGCTTTGAGCTACTTAGCATGATGATCGAAGATAGTGATCCAAATATTGTGGGTCGTGATGGTTCTGTACCAATTATGGTTCTGCTGATACCATTAATTAACAAAGATACCCTGCAACATTATACTCATTCAATGAAGGTAAGAATATACATTCAAATCGATCGATTGTTATTCAATGATATTATTCTTATTTTATTTTTGTACCTTATGTAAAAACTTGTATTGAAAATGTTATTCTCTTTTTCAGGTTTGCTTTGTAAATTGTATACGGATATTGCTGCAACATGGCGCAAATCCAAATTGTTCTTATCACCACAATCTAACACCACTGCAGGTGTTGGTCTTCACCGTTAGTGAAAATTTCACACTAAGCAGTGACACCTTAAGGCAAACAAATTTCGATTTTATTAAAAATATACTCCTGCTACTTCTACAACACGGACTCGATTGCAATCAAACATATCAGAATATATTGCAAGCAGTCATGGATATGGTACGAAATGTACGCGATGTCAGTGATTTAAACCGTATACACGATCTAACCCTGACACTCATACAATATGGAGCTGATCCAAATATAGTATTAAGTAATATGACCACTGGTGGTGCCATCTATTCCAATGAAATTGCACGCTTTGGAGATGCCTTAGGCTTGACCGGTTCCACAGCGGAAAGTACAAGTACTGGCGGGGCTGGTACCGTGGCGAGTAGTGGCAACACAAATGGTAATTCGTCCGTTGGTGAAACGACGGCAACACGACAATCTCTCGGTGATACCTCATTCCGTAACTCATTTCGCACAAATTCTCGTTATTTATTATTCTATTACATTGTGTTGATCACAAAAAAAGATTTCATACTCAACGATCCAGATCGAACATTTACCCGTATTATTTTACTCTTCTATGCTACCATGCAGCATGACACCCTGTACAATTGTCTCAAGTCTTTGCACAATTTTTACGTAGCTCAAGTTCCAAGTAAAAAAACGGAACAATTAATTGCTGTCATTTCGTCGTTATATCGTAAACCTCGCAGTCTGAAACAATTGTCTCGTCTTGCCATTTACGAATCGCTTAATCGTAAATTAGCTCAAAATGTAAATAAACTTAAATTACCCGGGTTGCTTAAGGATTATGTGCTGAATTTTGATAAGTAAGGGAGGGACATACGTGTCATTAGGTATGTTATTGAATAATTGCAACCACAACAACAATATTGCTAAATATTGTTTTGTTAGACATTTATACAATTCTATGGACTGACATTAGTAGATTACATTAAAGTATTTTTTGGAATATTGAAACGATTAGTCAAGCATGTGACTATGTGAATTCAATTTTAGCAAAGATTAAGGTTTGACAATTGATTGGTTCCGGACAGGATTCAGACGCTAAGTAAGCAGATATGTTTGAATGTCGTCGGAACTTTAACACATTCATGTGTTTGATTCCGAACCATTTGAATACTGAGATCTACGAAAGAACACTGTTGACAGCTTATGGCTTGCTTCGTTAGAAATATTTTTGCTAGTCGAATTCTTGCAAAAAGTAGGGTTTGATCTTAGCCTAGAAATCGTTTGTAAACTCAAAACATTTTATTGAACTGAATTTAGCAAATCAGGGCAAATTTAAAAGATTAAAAAAAATAAATAAATAAAATTTAATGTGCTCACAATACGAATAAATCAGTGTCTGTAAATTACAAAAACAAAGAAAGTTAACAACAATATTTTCGATGTTATTTATCTTTTTAACAATATAACAAAGCAACAATAACAACATCTATAACAACAAATGTATTTGAATTGTATTTAAGCTCTCTGTTTCTTCTTCGACTGAATGAAACGCACTTATTTCAACCATCCCCAAATAAGACGAAGAACAAATGACATACAAATCATTAATTCATTCACTCGTACATACAAAACATATACACACATACTTAAATGCATTCTATTTGCCAAAAAGAAAATATTTTACAAATATATATTACAAATACAACAACAACAGTTTAAGCCATATATATATTAATTCATATAATAATTATTGTTAAATATATTGTTCCTGTTAAAGCAAAAGCAAAGTGGATGGAAAGAAATATTCAAGAAAATAGACAAAAACTAAATCCATATTACATTCATGTGTGAACATGTTTACACAAAATAAAAGAATAACTTACGAAATTATATCTGAATGGTTTGAATGGTTTTCAATGTGGGTCCGTATTGGTAAGGCAAAAAGTTTTAAAGATATTAAACTTGATTATAACTAAATACATATTCGTACCTAATTTGTTTTGGATTCGACGAAAATAGAGTGTTATTACCACTAAATTTTAAGCTATTAGAACAAGATTAAGAACAGTAACAAGTAGTCGCACATCAAATTGTTTATTAGAAAATGGAATGCAAAGCTGCATTTAGTTACTAATTAAAATATTTGATAAGTATTACTAATATATATGGCGAAAGATTTTTCCAGTTTTTGTAACATTTCACAATTATCGGGTCTTGTTAGCTAATTAAAAAATAATATTTTCATATGTTTTGAATAACAACAATTTATTGACTATAATAACACTTTACAAATTTGGTTTCTTTGACTTCATAACATATCGAATGGTGATACAAATAAACAATTTAAAATAAAAATGGCTCATAAATTCATAACAGTTATTAATTAAAGAACCTAGTACTAATATTAATAGGATCAAAACATTCTGAGTTCACGTTCTCAAATATTGATACTGGACATTCGATCATTCGTTTCGATGGACAATAAACCTTTACAGGTAACAGGACAACTCATCAAGACTCACTCACGTTCTCATTACAATTAAGCTCTTTTTCGTGATGTTATCCTTTTTTATTTATTTTACGGTAATCGTTTTTTATTCTCATAGACTTTGAAGAAATAAAAAAAATAAAATTTTGTCATGGATGTGGATTGCTGCAACTGAGAGAATTATTTCACAAACTAAACCGTTAATTTTGGATTATTAAAAATAAAATATTAAATATTTAACATGTATCCCATTGATTCGAAGAAATCGGATTCAGCTTTCGTTTTTGTAAACACTAACGTTGTTAATAAACAATTAATAAATTATCTTCATTAAAGCCAGCCGAATGTCCAGCATTGCGGACAATAAAACTGGAACCATCAAAATGCATACGTTTTTCATTGCGCCTATTACATGAGATAGAAGAAGAAAGTAGAAATGAAGATTAGAAAGGAGGATTTAAGCAAAAATCGTGAATTTTTATACAAATATTTTACGAAACATCTAATTGTGTTTAATATTTTTTATTTTTTATTGCATAAGCCTATATGTTTTATAGATTTTTATTATTACGATATATATTGGCGTTGAGGACAGATACACCGACTACCACTTCTTTACTTGGTGTAAGAATATTTGTCATTAAAAATTTAAAATATTTATTAAAACATTTTTTTAATTGTGATGGTTGGATATGCGATGGTTTTCAATGGTGGAAACTACTCCATTTCACTTTAAAGAATATATGTGTTTTTACATCTTTTATTTTAAAATGGAATAAAGTGATTCAAATATTTTTTCAAAAAATTATTTATAATTCTTTATTTTTTTTCTTTTTTAAATACCTATCGAATTTTTTGAGTAATTTAATTAATCCTATAATCATATTTCACCTTACCTTACAAATAAATGTGAAGTTTTTCCCAAGGATGCTGTACAATGTATGCCCATTGTTGTCAAAGTTGCCGATCCATTGCCAGGACTTGTGCGTATTAAACACTTATTGTGAGTACGAGTTAATCTAAAAGAAAGAACAACAAACGTTATTCATTTTTCAATAAGTAAATTGTGAGTGGACTTTCGCCTACTTGACTAAGCCATCTGCAGCCTGAGTAATACGGAAACCATTGATGTCATAAGTTTCGGTTCCATCGTCGGTACAAGAGTATGTGGCATTTTGTATAACCTCATTTGCCGCTTGGACATATGATGGACCATGACGTGAATTGCTGACAAATAAGCAAATTTATAGATTATTAGAATTATTTCGAAGGTCTACATAAAGTAGAAGTTGTGCAGATTTTTTACTACTCCATGAAGAAAATTCCACATAGAGAGACTTTTTGTGAAATATGAAAAAACTTTTTTAGATAATAACATAAAGATTTTTATATTTTCAAACTTACTCATAGAACACGGTCAGAGTATAGTCCTTAGTTAGATCGGTAAATGTATCTGTAGTTGTGCGTGTTCCAGCAGTATCAACCAAATATATTAAGGCACAGGTTTCGCTGGTGAAACTGACGCCCTTATACCACATTTTTGCATAGCGTCTAAAGGCGAATAAAATATTCATATAAGCTATTTTAGTCCGATTTTGGATTAAATTCAAACTTACACATAATTATTAGTTTTCATGCCATCATATGTTACCAGCTCTACTTTTGTGCCACTTTGCAGCACACGCCCATTGGGATGTATGAGGGCAGAGCTATTACTATTGCTAGACAGACCGATGGCTACCATGCTACGTTGATTTAGTACACGAACTGCCTTATCCAAGGTCATATCGATGCTGGAACATTTGGATATTTGAAAAACAACACAACATATATTTCAGATGGTAGTACTTACCGTATACCATCACGTAAACGTAGCTGAATTGTACCATTTGTCATGGCGATGGGACCAGCACCAGTGCAGGGTACAGTCGGTGGGGTTGGATGTTCGTACTCAACAGCCCGATGATGATTGCTGTTCAAGCGGGCCAAAACAAATGGTGGCGGTGGCATTGGTTGGGGTAATTGCTGGGCATGATGTTGAGGTGACATGCTAGGAGGCTGACGGAAGTAAATAATATTACAATTACAAGTTTTAATTCCTTTAACTTTTTCCTTTAACTTACCATACGATATGCATCACTTTCACATTCATAGATTGGTGATGGATGAGCCACAAAAGGATAACGGGTATTGTATAAATATGTACTATTGCGTGAAATGTTCGAACGACTGGTTATAGGAGAATCATAACCTCCACCCCCACCACCGGCACCTGCACTGCAATAAGGATGTGGTGACATTGTTAGAGGTAATTGTCGGGAAACCATGTGACCAGTCGGAGTTGATGTGTCTCTAGGTCCCATATCAAAAGATGCCATGCTAGCTGTTGATTCAGCATTGCGTTGATGATGATGCTGTTGTTGCGAGACAAATGGAGCAGCACCGGCATTAAATTGAGACTGGAAAACAATACAAAATAATTTAATTGGCTAAGAAGACATGACAATATATTTATGAGTATTCTGTTTTAATTAATAATCAAACGGAATACATATGCCAGGAAATAGAGCAAGGAACATATTACTTAATTTATATATTAAATATAAATATACCATTATCCCAACCTACAACTCAAGACTCGGTACTTACCGATGTGGTGTATACCGAACGTTGCCTTATGCCAGTCGGAGTTTTTGGTGGCGACCTCAAAATGTTATTAATTTTGGAATTCATATTTATACGGGCTAGAAATTCATCGGTATTAAAACCACCATTAAGAACAACTGGTGTCGAATGAGTTAACGGTTTCACAGAATTGTCATTTTCAGTATTGGAGTTTTCTTCCAAATCCGCAGAATTTTTTGTTAACAAAATATCACCGTTTTCACCTTCCATTTTGGGAGAACGTCTTATGGATTAATGCTGTATCAACTCGGGAGTTTATATGTGTATGTAGATGGATGAATGGACAGCTATTGCACAATAATAGTAATAATAGTTGAGGAAGAATTTTAGAACATCTGTTCGAGTTAGTGAAAAAATTTTAACTATTTTTTTGTCATGAAAAAAATGAAACCTTATTATCTAAGCCTACTACATAGTTAGTTTTTATTAAAGAGAATTTTTAAGTAGAGTGATGATGAACAGTATAATCAGGAATATTTAAAATTATGTAGTTATATTGACTATGTTAGCTGATTGTAGGTTTGAAAATGGATTATATTCGAGATATTAGAAGGAATAGACCGATATGACACATATTAGGGATTGATGTAGAATTGGTTAAATTTAATTAGGAACTCATTGGATACTTCATTCGCATGGTATAATAAGTGTGGTGTCTTCCTAATATAGAACATATTATAGTAGAAATTCTACAAGTAGAGGGGGCGATAGTTTACGTTGTTGTTGTAGCAGCCCTATTGCTTTCACACAATGGGCTAAGGTGACAGACCTTGGCCGAGTAAGACTCGGGTCGTTTCGGATCGTAGATCCTCTGTCGTGGAAACGGATACCCTTATACCACATAATAGTTTACGTCGCTGAGATTGTTGCAAATTTGGGACCTTTCAGAGTTATCAGCCAAACACACATACGGACATTTTTAAAACCACTGCAAATTGTTTGAATTTGACCAAAGACACTTGGTTGTAAAGTATATATTTCCTGATTAGCCTTGGGTTGAAGCTATGTTAATGAAAATCTGTAACAACACCTAATTTTAATTCACTTAGATTAGCAGTAATACTTACCAAAATGTCTTCCTCAACGAAATAATTCCTAAACATCAAGCCAATTATGATAATATAACATTTTATTAATCCAATTCAATTATTTTATAAATTCATAAATAAATATATATTTGTTTTTTGTTTAACAGATAACCGATTTAAAAATCTAAATTTATATGTTTCGTGTTTATTTTCAATTATTATATGGTTTGTAGTTGTTTTTGTTTTGTTACTAAACCCGAAACTAAGATAGTTGTCTAAAAATCGGTTGAAACTTTGAATATCCGTCTTAAAGATGAATATCCTTACAAATGAATGAATAAAAGATTTATAATTAGACAAGGGATAGCTAAATTAATAATTTGAATATAAAGAGAACTTGCTTAGGGATCTAAGAGAATAAAATATAACGTAAATAAAAGGACATTCATGTTGTTGTTATTATTAATGTTGTTAAAGCTGCAAAATATTTTTGTTTATACGCAACACAAAAGAATAAAAGACATTACAATTTACACCAATTGTTTGCCAATAAACAAAAAAGAGACATCAACGCACTAGAAAAAGGAGAAAAATAAAACAAAGTCTCATACAAATGTTCTCCTTTAAAAAATCTATGGCAAGTGCAATTGTGTGTTTGTTGTTTTTTATTGAGTACCACAATTTAGGCGCTGTAGATTTGAAACATCTTCATCATCATCGTCGTCAGAGTCATCATTATCGGTTGCTAATTCAACCAAGGATGAAGGTGAATCATCGCTATCATCTTCATCATCATTGTTACGTTCACGATTTCGTCGTCTGTGACGGCAGAGAGTTTGTCTAATGAAATATTGCAATTGATCATAATCAAACTGAATTGCTTCCTCTATCACAGTGCGTCGTAGATTGCGACGTACACAATGTGTAAGTTTGGTTAGATCGGGAGGATGCTGGAAAAGATAGACACAATGATATAAAATGTTGGAAACGTATTTGACGTTGTTTACCTTTTCAGCACTTGGAGTCCATATTTTAATGTGATGATCCAAACCTGATGTTGCAAGGATGGGGGTTGTTGGGTGAGGTTCAAGACAATTAACCTATAGGGAAATAAGAATGACGTGTTTTAGACTATACATGACATTTTTGTTCAGTCGAAGAGTTAAAACTTGGTTGTTTTCTTTTACAGATAATTTGCAAATAACAATATTTTTTATAATTTTACAAAATAAACAATATAAAATGTTAAACACTTCAAATACTTACCACCCCAGCCGTGTCGCCAGGCATAAAATTAAGTATTGCCTCGGTATTTTTATCCCAATAAAATATATTACCGCAATCACTGCCGCTAATAACATACTCGCAATTGGGTCCAAAGAAATTCACACCTTTTATGGTCTTTTGGTTACTAAAAAAGGAATAAAATTGTTTGCAAAAGTACACATATTTTAACCTTTTTCGAAAACTTACTAATGTCCCTTGTAGCAATGTAGGTATTCTCCATCCACATAATTTTTATTATTAAACAAATAAATGTTTTCCTCGCTGTAAGAGGCCAAAATTTCAGTGCCAGTATAATTATAAACACAACAGGTAACGCTTGGTGTACATGCCTGGAAAGGTATATAATTAAATATAAATTAACACAAATAAACTATATGTATGAAAGCAGATGATATGATATTTGAAAGCAAGCATTTTTGCGAGTATATCAATTCTAAATGTAATACCATTTACCAACTCACTTCAAGTATGTGTTCAGGACACATTGTGTGAACTGGATCCTTCATCGATCTCTTATCGTAGACGCGCACATAATTATCACTGCCGCTGACACAAATTTCCGGCGCAAATGGGTGATGCGATATACTAAATAAGCGCACTTTACGCGATTTCTTTACATGCGACATGACTTGCAACAAATCGATTTTATGATATTCTTCACGTAGATCTTTGCTACAAATGAAACCATCTTCGCCAACACTTATTATTTCCGAAGGATTATCTGGACATATTACTAGCTTATGGACTGGTCCACGATGTATATATAGATTGGAAGTTTGTACTTTACCACCGGATGAGGGTACAATGGAACGTCTAACCCGGCCATCGCGAGCTGCTGATATTATATCAATAAATGAGGACGTTGGCACAAATTTCGATTGAAATATATTGGAACTGTGACCAGATTTCCATATATGTTTAACCTTATTGCCAGCCCAATCCCATACAATGAGCCGGGCATCATCAGAACCCGTTACTAAGAGATCTCCCGACTTGTTGAAATTTAAACAGTTGACGCAGCCATTATGTTTCCTTAGAACATGTGAAAGTTTCATGCGTTCCACCACATGACGTGAGGCATAGAAACGATTATTAAAACCATAAGTAAAACCGTTGCGCAATGATGTTCTACCATCTCCGCCAAGGCCATGTTCTCGACGCATTAGCTCATAGGCTGCACTCCAAGTATATGAAGGTTTCTGTTTATTCAATAATTTGTTAACCTCTTCATCTTTCTCTTTAATAAGTGCCGAATCGGCTGAATCTGGAGAGGCATAATCTGAACTATATCTATCGCCAAATAGAGTGGGCAAAAAGTCTGTATCATCATCGTCGTCATCGCTATCATCATCATCTTCATCTGCTTCTTCCGGAGGAACAACAAAATTGGGTGGCATATAGTCCTGTAAGAAACCGAAAGAAAACTGTCAATTAATTAAAACGATAACAAAATATATGTTCTATAAAAAGGAATTGTATTAAAATGAAAAGATTACTGGTCCCAAATCGTTCGGTCTATTATATTTACCTCTGATGAATCACTTGAAACTGGGGATAGTGCCCGATCTGCCATATTAACATCTGCGTCATTGTTCTCATTTTCTGCGGGTTCTATATTACGCGCTCGTTCTCCTTCCACAACCTGTGTAGATGCTGGAGAAGAGGATGACGACGACGTTGATGATGATGTGGAGGTTGAACGTTCAGCAGTACGATAATTACGGGAGCGATTCCGTTTGGAACGTTTAATAATATTTGATGATGTGCATGGCTTTTCAACCTCGGCCGCAGTGACGCCAGCAGTGCTTTCTTCATTGTCAGCTAAACTTTCCATACTTTCCTCTTGAGTGATGTTATCGGTAATTGTGGATGGAGCTGGAACAATAGGTTCCTAAAAAGACAAAGAAGAGCCATAAAAGTAAACTTTTGAAAATTCACCTCTAGACCCAATACAAATCAGTCACGTTAATAAACATAACATTCACATAATTTTCTAACAATTCTGTATGGAACAATTAATTATCTTGTCTATGTGTGTCATTTTCAGCAACAACCCTTAAAGTCCTTTCCTTTATTTTCTGCTTCGATATAATTTCTCTTCGCATTTCCTTACCTCCGACTTAATATCATGAGCTGACGAAGTTTCTGTTGCCATTATAGACTCTGGATCATTGGTTTGAGAACGTTTACAATCGGCCTCATTATCTTCGGAAGATGTGGATGTGGAACGACCGGTTTTACGATAGTTGCGAGATCGATTACGTTTCGAGCGTTTAATAAGATTCGATGATGAACAAGCAATGTCAGCATCAGCTGTTCCTGTGGCAGCAGTTCCAATCAGACTTTCCATGCTCTCTTCCTGTGGACTACTAGTATTAGCGGCAGCTATGGCCGAAGTATCCAATTCTTCATCATCAGCTTTTACAGAATCTATTGTCATCATCATGGAATCCATATCGCCAAATGATGATTCTTCCATTTTAGAACTGAGACCACTATCGCTGTTGTTGTTATTGTTGTTCGAGACAATGCTGTTGTTGCTGCATGCACTCACATTCGTCTCTTGATTATCGTATGGGCTGCAAGCGACAGCAAAAACAAACAAGAACAAGCAAAATGCAATTAAATCAATAAAATGTAAAACACAATTATTCTATGCCAAAATATACCTATGCTGGCCACTACTGCAGCTGGACGAGGCCAAATCTTTGTCGCCCTTCTTTAGATCCTCACTAGATCGAATGCGTTTGGCTGCTGTTCCACCACCATTTGGGGCCTCTACCTTTTCATCCATTCCTCTTTTCGATATTGAAAAATATTTTCCTCTTAAAACGTCACGACCGTAGGTAATATTGGTTCTTGCTTAACTTCGAAATGCCAAATAATCGATTGATTTCGGTTCGGTTTCCTAATTCGACCACAAAATGAATCCGTCCAAGATCTATTAATAAGGTCACCAAGATAGCAATCGAAATCGGAAAACAGCTGTTTTTTCTCAAGTCTAATGTCAAAAAATTTCTACTTTGTTTACGTTTTCATAGTGGAAGTCAATTCACAATAATGCATTTTGACAGCAAACTTGAGAGGTATCGATAATCAGCTGGTCTCCCTTGGTGACCTTATTTATAGGCCATGAATCCGTCAATCAAGAAACGTATAAGAAAAAATCGAATTATTCAAATTACATGGGCATTTTATGAATATTCTTTTTTACATCTTTCATTCTCGACCCTGAACATACTTTACAACACCTCAGAAAATTGCCAACAATAATTTTTATTTCCTTTAATTGCGAAAACAATATCCACACAAACAATTTGATTCGATTGCAAGCAATTGACTGAGGAACAATTGAAAAACGTTCCGCCTGCTACGAATGGGAGGAGAAGACAAAATGGCCGATAAAGATGAATTCAAAATGGTATAACCGAAAGTTTACGAATGAGGTGGGACGGAGACTAGATGAGAACCGCCGTATTGTTTACAAACACACATACACTCACAGGTCACACGCATACTATGGTGCGTGATGTAGGGTTCTATAGATCGACATTGTGTGTTGAGTAACGGGTAAGCAGAATGGATTCGTTGAGCCTTTCTTCGCGCTATGTGTAGCCGAAAATACAACTACCACAAGGAAATGACAACACAAACGCTTGAAGATGATTTCGTGCCGTAACGCGATAACAAAAAAAAAAAAAAAACGCTAAACACGAACATTCTGGTTGTAGCGGTTTAATTTTAAAATTCAAAATTTAAAAGTTTTATCAGTTTTTTGTTACGGGAGCATTCTATACTTAATGACTTGGTAAAATATTTCAAACGAACAATAAATAATAAATTGGAAAATAGCAGATAATACTAAATATGTAATAATTTTCTTCTTCGAAGACTAGGTATGTCCGATAACTTACTGAGTAAAAATTACTCAGTAACTTATGTTGAGAGAGTTTGTTCTTTCATGTGAAACTATTGAAAAAAGTTATCAAAAAACTTTAGTAGGGTTGGCGGTTTATTTGAAATACCATTTGTATTTTGTTTTTGCAAAATAGTCAGGCTGAATCCCAGTTTGTTGTTTTTATAAAATACAACTATTTATTAGTGGGAATGTATGGCATTGTTTGCCGAGGGGTTAGGCAGGGAAGATTATAGTTTCGGATCACGCCACTGATCCTCATCAGTTCCCTTAGTTTTTTGTTACACAAAAACCTTTCATACCCAAATGTCTCTTGTAACAAAGCGAAGTACTTAGCTGACCAACGACATGAACTGTATGAGAATTTCGCTGGTGCCTCACTTCGAGGTTAACAAAAAACATCCAGTAAAATCCATTAAGAAATCAAATGTATGTGACACAATTTTCAGTTGTTAAGAAGTCGGATATAAAATAAAAATTTTTAATAAATTAATTTTATATATTTCATGCTATTATATGGTCTGTTCCAGTACTTTTTTAATAGTAAAGCTAGTAAAAGGGAAATTTTTCAAAATTGCTCTCAGAGTACAAAATAATTTGAAAAGTTCGGAAACGCAAATCTAGTAAATATGTCAAAATTAGATGGCAATACTTCAAAATCAACATAACAGCCAATCAGAAGTAGGCAATCCTGTTTACCATTTTTACTCGGCCAAATTTCTCGAGTAAAAAGTTTACAAAGAGAACGCCATTTTGTTTTGATTCAATGTTTTACCAGTTTGTGGTCGAGTAAAAAGTTGCAAAACATGTAAAATGAGTAGATTCATTTAGGTTCTGGAACGGAACTATACATTGTATATTGCCTTATATCTCCAAAATAATTACAATATTCAGATTATTGCATTGATTACTATATATATATATATATATATATTACAACAAAACATAAACATGAAAATTCATACTGAGTAGGGGAGAGGGGGGCACCTTTGAACGTGGGGCACCTTTGAACAGCGCTCATAAAATCTTGGTTTAACATTTTTCCGACCCGCAACCACATTTTTGTATATGACAATCTTGTTCTCTATATGCGTAAACCACTTTGGCTTGCTTTTTCAGTTGTCGAAAAATTTTGCATGGGTGACCATGTTTTCTCAGTGTCATTGTAAACTTTTATTTATTTGGTTGTAAGGGCGCAGGATGAATTCTGTGATAGTTTTCTTTCGTCAAACAATTTTTTTGCATTCCAACAATCATTTCAAACATAACTAATGTAATTTCTTTCATATATATTTATTACAAAAAAAGTTATTTTAAATTTCCGTAAAATGCCATGGGTGGGGCACCTTTGAACATGCCCATTAAACTCGAGTAAAAAAAGAGGTTTTTAACTTTTGGCTTCGATTTCTCAAAATTTCAAATGGGCTAATAAGATTACTGTATTGTTAACCATATTAATATTTGTTTTTAAGTCATTTAATATTTTAATAAATTTGGATTTAATTTTTTAATTTTCGAAACTTGTTGTATATATTTTTTAATAAATAAATGCATTTCTGATATCTATGAACAAAATACATGCATATTTGAACATAAACACTGTAAAAACCATGTTGTTCAAAAATGCCAACCCTTCATTAAAACAGTAATAAAATGTATTTATCAAGCTTAAAGTATGTCATATGTATATTCATTTTAAAGGCTACATATGTACCTATTAGTTAAAATTTATAAGAAACCAAAAATTAGAAAATAAAAAATTTTATAAGGCTTGAAAGCAAAAAGTGTTCAAAGGTGCCCCCCTCTCCCCTAAATTTTTTCCAGTAAAAAAATTGTCAATACTCAGTACAAAACTGCAAACATTTCTCTCTCAACTTACTCTCATTTATTGAACTTTTAAGTTATCAAACAAACCTATTGTATTTATTTTGGTTTATGTTTAGTTGCTTGCGGTTTTACTATAAATTTCGTTTTTTCTTTTTTGGGTTTAAGAACGGATGCTGTATTTTACTATATTCATTCAAAGGAATGTCAGTTGTTTCTCATACTTTGTGTCATATTGGCAAAATATTTCTGTTTTCAATTCTCACATTCATACATTCAGTGATTTCTTCGACAATGACTCACACTTTCATTGCCAAGAAACAGTACGATATGTGGCTGTAACGGCATTTGTTTTGAATTAATCTTATTTTTCATTTCCACTACTCCCTTCTCATATTATGGCTTTTGGGTCCGAATGATATTGTCCTACTGGCCCATCCCTTTGTTTATGTTCTTCCACAGTCACTTGAAATCAAAGTAATTACAGCAGCGAAACAAATCAGAAGAATATTGACCACAAAACAGTACAACCAGCTCTAAGCTACCTACCTATCTACAATCATAACCCGTTGTGTCGGCAAGTAAATCTTACCATTCAACCAGTCAGCCTGCAAGCCAGTCAGTCACCTAGCGAGACATTTATTCAGTCAAGCAAATCCAAAAGTCAAGATGTCTGCAACAACAAAACTTGTCTTACCAATTACCAATGTGGGTAAAAAGAAACAGACAACCGGACGGACACCACCACAACAACCACAAAAAGCACAATTGTCTCATTGTGCAGAATGGAGAAGCTAAAATAGTAATTCAGGCGGAGAATATTGAGCCCCCTGTTAAAGACGATCATACAAAACTACCAACTTTATTTACTCTCTTTCTCTCGCACTCACTTTTTATCTGTTGGATACTCTCGCGTCATATCACTATGGGTTATAGTGTAATAAGCACAAAAAACCTGAGTCAAGCCATTGAAGTGGTTTTAACTTCAGACTACACTCAAGAAAAAAACATTTTATATATTTTAGGATATCTCCCATATAACTCCTCTTTCATTAATTGACATGATATCAGATTAAAGGTCAATCATTGATGATCCATTCAATGGAAATAATTTTAATCATGTCCTCTTAGAGGCAAAATATAATATGTATGTTAATTTTAAGATTTTTTCACAGAAAAATCTCGCTCCGTTCCACTGGCTAAAATTTGACCGATCATCAAGAAAACAGAAACAAAATATAGTGTTCCAAGTCATATAGCCATATATCGATGGCGGTCGATATTCTAAAAGGTGAGTCTAGAAGCTATATTACTCGACGTTGCAAACACATGGGGCCAGGTATATAACTCTACTTCTTATATCTACCCTCTAATTTATAATACCCTAATGAAAAATTATTTATAAAATCAAGCGAATCTTTATATGGGAGCTATATCTAAACCTGAATCGATTTTCACGAAACTTAGCACACGTCATTCTAGACTTAATTCAGTACGCTATGCCAAAATTCGTGCAAATCGAATGATTTCAGGGACTTGTGTCAAATTTCATCCAAATCGGATTATAAATGCGACCTGTACTTTGTTTACAATTTAACATCAACAGATGGGCGGCATTAATCGACTCAGAAAGTGATTCTATGCATATTCTCAAAAGGAACCATGGGTCTAAAGACATAATTCCCTGTACCACAGTGTGGTGAAGGGTATAAAAACCAAGCTTATAAATCTGACAGTTATTCATAAAATTATAAAAAAAAACACAACATTGATAAAATATGCCCCTTATGACTGCCAGACCATGCCAAAAATGTCTCCAAAAATATTATTTAAGAAATGTTTACGCTTAAAGTTTGTTTGTTTTTTGTTAAGTTTTCACTTGAAATTCGTAATGAACAAAATATTTAGTTTGAACATAGATTTTTCTTTGAGTGTTCAATCACAACGGCCGATTGCCTACTGAATGAATGGCTTAAACTCGCATCTTTAGTTGATGGTTGAAGACCGCCGGTGACACTTGGTTAAAGCGCCAACCGAAAGAAAGACATCTTCGACAAATAACAAAACAACAACAACAATAAGAGACAAAAATATATATTTATTTTATTTTTTAATGATTGCCACATAAATTATAAGCTGGTTGAACAACAACAGCAGCAGCAGCAGTAAGAAAACAGCATAAGGGCGCTTCTGGCTGGGTGTGTGAGCGTCTCATTTGTGATTATTTTAGTACGTTTGTGTGTGTGTGTGCGCGCAAAACGCCAAATCTACCTCAAAAGTAAGTCTTGACTGGTAAAGAAATGTTAACGTCGTTTTTCAAATTAGATCACTATTTGCGCATGCGCAAACAACTTCCGCCATGGCGTTCAAAAAAAATTTGCAATAAATAAAGGAAACGAAGAAGCAGCCAAAGTGTATGACGCCTTTTGCGTGAGTTCCTCTTCGAAACGGAAAGTTAACTTTTACAAACAAACGAAGAAGAAGAAAAAAAAACGATTTGATTGACTTCTGTTGCCATTTTCAAATTTGCACTGCCAAACAACCAGTCCGCCACCGAACAAATAAACGAATATGTGTGATCCATTAATTAAACAAAAAAATTAAAAATAAAAAAAATTGTTTATGGACTAAATTTATTCCGGTTTTATTATTGCAAAGTTGTTCGCTCTGCTCGCTGTTGTCTTGGTTTTCTTGGAACATTTGTGTGAATTATTTTGTTTTCAATTCAAATCGTGTTGAGTTCAGTTCGAGCGTATTTCGAATTTTTCTGTGCACTGTGTATTAAACTCGTTTTGCTTTACATTACCACAACACGGCAGAGATCGATTAACGATATCCAAAGAAAGAATATCATATCATAGATGCAGTCGATCAATTAATTGAACTGTGAAATAGAAAAAAATATCAAAAGGCAATTAGTGAGCGCAAGTGAATGGGACAAGTGAACAGCAAGTGCTTCTAACCAAGGTGCCATGCATGCATACATTTATGATGTTTTTCCTTGCCACAAATTGAGGCCTTCGTAACTTCGTGTAACAAAACTTTCGTTTCGAACGGAAAAGTTTAGTGGTTACATTTCTCAACAAAGGCAATTTTGAAGTTATCCAACCAATGCTATGTGCGGGAGGTGGTGGTGGTGTTCAGCTATGCATTTAAATTAACCCCAACTTTATCGGTTGCTTGCATTCATTTTGAGTTAAATTTAAGTTTTGGAAACAATAAACCCGACGACGAACATATTTTAAAAGTTCTCGACTTTCAGTGGACAGTTTCGTGTTCGGAATTTATAATTGGGTATTTGTTGCTCTCTTCGTCATGTTTTCGAATAATTTCGATTTTGAAAAAATGGCACAAGTACCTTAAAAGTGATAGTAATGCCGTTGAAAATGAAGAAGAAGAAGAATGAAAATACCATCACAGATACACATATTCATCAAGTTTATGCGTTAACAAGAATGTGCAGTTATATTTGAAAGAAAAGTTGTAATAAGTTTTAAGGTTATTAGTTGTTGTTGTCGTTTTCAAAATCAATTGGAGTTTGTTATGCGTACAGTGGAATCTCAATAATGCATACCCTGATAAAGCCATACACCATAAAATCGAACAAAAATAATATTAATCAATATTTATTAATCCCAATGGAAACAGTGCATTCGACAAGTCAATAATAACTATAAAAAAACTACTTCAATCTACAATTATATTACAAGTTCTGGAACACGACTATTGTGGGGATCATTTGTTTCCTTCATTTTTTGCAATATTTTTCCATGAGAAAGTAAAAAAAAATAATAATAATAAACGATCACATCTAAAATTTTTTCTCTTCACAAAGCAAAACTCTCCGCAAACCCCTACCCAGTGATTTTCACATTACATGTTATCTTACATATATGAAATATTTATGTCATTGTACTTCAAATGCAATTTTATCTCCTTTCGTTTTCTAGACTTCTTATGTAAAAAATAAAATAACCAATTGCCCGGGGAATGCCCTCGTATATTTTGCTTTGCAGAACTTAGTTTCATGCCTGTTTTTAATTAAATATCAACGGGTGATCATTGTTGCAGTTTTAGTCGTACAAAAATATACTTTATATTTCAACGGAAGAGAGATTTTTTAAAACAATTCAAGCTCCCTTAAAATAATCTCGATTTGAATTTAAATTCTAGAAAATATTAATGTGAATTCATTTACAACATTATTTTAGGATAGTGGGTAAGTCCGGTCGGTTGCTGATGGGGGTTTTTTTTTGTTCTCTGCTTTGTTTTGTAAGAGTCAATTGTTAGTGCAATGCGTGAAAACAAAGAATTAATTAATCAATTGTTTATCAATTTAAATGAAAAACTGGGGAGAAAATCTCTTTATTCCGACAGCATTTTCTAATTAATAGATGTATGCCCATTACAAATGTGTTCCAGTTTATTATTATGACAAATTTAATTGCAATGACAAACATTATGACTGGACTCTTTGTCTAACTGAATAGAAACTGTAAAACAGCCTGTAATATTTTTACAAATTTTGTGTGACCAACTTCGGACTCAATCAAAATTTTGTAAAAACATAACGATGAACAATGCTTAGACTATGTCGGATATTCCATTGCCTTCATAATTCAATTCAGATTTTTAGTCTTTGTGAGAGTTTATTTTCAGACTTCATCTAGGTTTAGTCAACTATAACGACCACTTTAGGTCAATTCTCTTAATAGCAAATGTACACGTTTTCAAATGTACGTAACAGAAGAAGTGCACCAATAGGCTCAATCTTCGCACATAATCTAGGTTTGGTAAATTATTCTGTACCCCTTATAAGTCTAAGTCATTCAATTCCCATCGATATTAAAATTATGTTTTTTGTGGTTTCATTTTTATCACCTCTTTTTTTTTTGTGTTTTGAATTTTGATTCGTTGCAGATGACCCGACAACACATCTGCACAGGAAGCAGGTTGTTTTTAATACTTTTAGTGGTTTCCTCGGTTGGCGTAATGGAGACCAAAGCCAAAACCGGTAAGTGCAAAGAAAATACAAAAAAATGAAATTAATACATATATCGATAAGCAAAAAAAAAAAGAGTTTGCAACAAAAAACACCACACCCTTCACTACGAAGAGGAAGAAGACATGCAAATGCTCGAAGAAGAAACCCTTTTGCAGGCAAAATGAAAGCGAAGACAAACTATTAAATAACAAAAAGCTAACGGTTCTGTTTTCGTTTTTATTTCACAGGACCCATACATGGCAAGGTTGTGGTGTGCTATATATCAACATGGGCTGTTTACCGGCCTGGACATGGTGCCTATTCCCTAGATAATTTTGATCCCAGCCTTTGTACCCATGTGGTTTATGCCTTTGCTGGTTTGGATCCGGAGTTATCGGCCATAAAATCATTGGGTGAGTAACACTAGTTTTTAGAGAAATGTCTCAGGCCCACATTAATGTTTTTTATCCTTAGATCCCTGGCAGGATTTGAAGGAGGACTATGGTAAAGGTGGCTACGAACGTTTAACCGGCATGAAACGTACCCATCCCCATTTAAAGGTGACCCTGGCCATTGGCGGATGGAATGAAGGTTCTAAAAATTATTCACGCATGGTAGCCGATCCAGTGGCTCGTGGTAAATTCGTAAAACAGGTTACCTCATTTATAAGGCGTTATAATTTCGATGGTCTCGATTTGGATTGGGAATATCCAACACAGCGTGATGGTAATCCAGCTGATCGTGAAAATTTTGTTTTACTTTGTAAAGAGTTGCGCGAACAATTCCAACCGCATAATTTACTATTGACCTCGGCCATTGGTGCGGCGAAAAATGTTATCGATCAGGCCTATGATGTTCGCCAGATATCGCGCTATTTGGATTTCTTGCATATTATGTGTTACGATTATCACGGCAGTTGGGATCGTAAAGTTGGTTACAATGCGCCGCTGACAGCACCACAAGGCGATGCACTGAGTGTGGTGAGTATAGGAATTGAAGAAAAATGGGGTTCATTTGTTATTGGTGGAATTGAATTTATAGATGAAATCAAATTTATAGATCAAATTTTATGTCAAAAATCGCCATCCGATTTATTAATAAATACATGTTTTTGTATTCCACAGCAATATACCATTGATTACCTGCTGAAATTGGGTGCTCCACCAGAAAAAATTGTCATGGGTGTTCCATTCTATGGTCGAACTTTCAAAACTCCATTTGATGGCAATATTGATGATGATACCGATGGTACTGCCTTCCAAGGGCCCTATACCCGTGAAGACGGTTTCTTGGGTTACAACGAAATATGTCAAATATTGAAGAACAAAACGTCAGGTTGGACAACAATGTGGGACCCTGAAACATCGCAAGTGGTAGCCCGTTCCGAAAAGGATGTCTTCAATGGCCTGGTGCAAGTGGTGACTTTTGACAATTCTCGTTCCATTGCCAATAAAGTAAGATTTGCCATGGATCGCAATTTGGCCGGCGTAATGGTATGGTCCATTGACACCGATGATTTCCTCGGGGAGTGTGAAATCGAAGAAGACATCTATGAAGATTACCGGCATTTGAAACACTCTGGCTTACGTCTACCCACCAGATTGCACAACAATTATCCTTTGCTGCGAACCATTAACGAGGCCATGCCCTTGGCCATTGAGGAAATTAAAAATAAACATCATCATCACGATGATGATCATGACATGCACGGTCATGGCGGGGATCATGGACATCGTAATCACGACGATGATGCGGATGGCGATCATGTGGAGGACAATGAAATTCCTCATGGCAGTGTTGAGGATCGCAAGGGAGAGAGTAATTCCGCTCTGCGAAAATTACAAAATCCCTTTTTTGTTGCCGTTGTCTGGTGTTTGTTATGCATAGTTTTTAATTAATTATTGTCATTAAGATGTGTTCTGCTTCAATTAGATTTCTCAATCTAAAATTATTAAATTATGGAATTATCAAAATTAAATTGTGAGTCGCAGTCACAATTAAAGGACTCTATATTTTGCTGTTCTGAAATTTCATCAAAATTGTGCGTGAAGAGAAATAATAACCCATTTTTAGTTTTATTTAAGATAGAATGTAAAACAAAAGAAAAACATTGGCCTTAATTTCAAGTAAAATAAACAAATTAGATATAAAAAATTACGGTTCCGTATTTAATTCATGGAATAAATATATCACTTTATTTAACTTGAAAGCTTCTGACTTCAATGAAACAATGAGACGTTTATTTTGAAAATGGTTTAAGTCCATTTTTTCTTATGTTGAGATATTTAAGGGTTTGTGTTTGATAAAGTCGACTTTTCGATTTGTCAAAATCGATTTTCAACTTTTAACGACAAAATAAAATTCTGGAATGTGTAAATTTTGGTCAATTTGGACTTTGTGATAATAAACAAAGTAATTATGAAGAAAATAGAAAGTTGATCTTGAAAAGTCGACCTTGCGTTTTCTTCAAAGATCAAAAGTCGACTTTGACTTTAAGACTTTTTAGTACAAAAAGTCGATTAGTCGCAAGTCGATTTACTTATCCTTAATTTAAACACATCAAAGTGTCATATTGTAGGGCCAATACTTTTTTATATAATCGGCAAACTATATTTTTAAAACGTTGTTCTAGTGATCTTTTTAAAACATAGCTTTCTAAGTAAATTTTCACATAGTATATTACATATTTTTGAAATTATGAATGAATTTTAAAACAGCTGACCTTCTTAGCTTTCGTATGACATAACCTTTATGCAATACCCTTAGTAGTTCAAAAATTATGGCATTAAATCCATAAGCTTAAATTATTTATTTTCGCCATTTCAACCGACTGCATCAATATGAAGGAGTTGCCAGATCGAAACAAAATTGATCATGTGTTCATAACAGAGATAGAAATTTCCAAAACATATAAGTTTTTTTTAGTTATACCGCGCTTTTTGTGCTGGGTTAAGAACTTTCCGAACTGACTCCGTACTGTCAATCTTTAATAGGGATTATACTAGGCGATTTTTAAGACAAACTAATTCTATGTAGGAATAGAGTATCATTTAAACTTAAGGCTTAACCGTTGGATTTTTCGAAATATTTTAACACATTCGAAAGTTATTGGAATTTAACCAATGCCTTAATTTTTCCTAACGACCTCAGCGCAATCTATTGATGCAGTAGATTGAAATGGCGAAAATAACAAATGTAAGGCTATGTTTTTCGTGCCATAATTATTGATCTACTCCAGTTATTGTAATATAATTTGTGTCATACGAAATCTCAGTAGTCTAGCTATTTCGAAATCTATTCGTATTTCCATAGATATGAAATGTTGTATGTGAACATTTAGAAAAAATCATTTGAACTAATTTTTTAAAATAAAGTTTGCCGATTCTATAGCAAACTCCTTATTTATGTTAATCAAGCAATTGGTTCGAAAGAAACATTCTGTGGGAGAGAAAACCCTGTGTGGGAATTTTAATACCCGGATCTGCTTCCGCAAATAAATGTTATAAATGTGTATGACATTATGAGATCATACAGTTCATTATAATCAGCAATTTATTCGATTTGACTGAAGGCATGTCATCTCAAAAGTCTATTAAATGTCTATGTCAATTCCATAGCGTATACGACAAATATTATCAACTGGATTTGGGAACATGACGTATATGATATGGAATTGACATTTAAGATCGAGTGGATTTGGTAGTCTAAACGCGCTCTTAGCTGCAAACAACGGTATAACTCATCACGCCATTACTTAAAAACTTGACCTATGACGATTTCGGACTTTTTCGATTCGAAATATACTCACTAAGTCCTTTCGTCCACATACATACATATACAATTTTCCAACCTCAGCTCCGCTCTCTGGTTTTTGGTTACGTTTGCTTAATACCATCGATTTTCAAAAATCCCGCTTTATTCGTTTTAGCTTGTGCATAGAATTAATACAGCACCATGTTTAATTTTATAAATATTTGTGATTTTTTATTTCTTTATATTTTGTTGTTGTTGTTTTTCATTTTAAATATCAAACAATTTTTACTATATATTATTATATATGTATGTATATTAATATATGGTTATCTTGTAAAATGCATATCTGATTAATTTCTTATATATATTTTTTGTGTTTGTTTTTTTATTTAATTATTATAATTTTATCAACATTTAATAAACTTATTTATGTATGTATGCACACATTAAAGCCAACTTGTATGTATGTTCTAAAGGGTATTTATATACTTTTTTTGTTTGAGCCATAATACACTAAATAATATAAGACAATACTAGATTGTTTATTAAATTATTATTATTTTTGTTATTGTACGAGTACTGATATTATTATTATTTAACATAACTATATAAATATTTATAACATTTGCTTTTTCTGGATATTCTTAAATATGTATATGTATAGTCGGGTACATTATTTATTTATTTATATACGTAAAACGTCTATGCAATGGGAGGGAAGTGTTTGATGTTAGGGAATGGACGAATCGTATTTTATGTCATTATTTATAATAAATATAAACAATTTTATTAATATTAAAAAAATACATTATTTACTAATTAATAATTAAAAAGGATGGCGAACAATGTACGATTGGACTGATTTTTTTTCTGTCTGTGATATTTTTTATATAGTGGCAGTTTTTATGGTTGAGTAATTTTATATATGAGCGATTAGTTAGTTATGTAAATAAATGGAAGGATACTGTGAATAATATACACGATGATAATGCAAACTTAATTCAAGGCAAGATTTTACTTTATGAAGTGGTGAAGTCATGATGGACGTGACAGGAAAGTATTACTTTCTTAATTCATAAAAAAAGATTTTATTCTTTGGAAAATGTGAAATTTTTAGAACAATTTTGATAATGGAGAACATTTGCTGTGTTTATCACAGAACTTAGTTGTGTTGGTTAGGAAAATATTTTGAGGAAGAACATTTTAAATGTCTAACTTAAAAGTTCTAATAAACTTAGAATATGTCTCTACTTTTAGTGATTTTCAAATTTGAGTCCAGGGGAATTTATCGAACAAACCTTACCCCCGTCCTTACTCATTCTCATCAATCCGATTCCAGTTGCTTTCAAACAAAAACCTCATTTCATAAACGATTTCGATCACTTGTGCTATTATCCGACCATTCACGATCGCTATTATCCTTTCTGGATGGTTTTTGTGGAGTTCTTGGTTTATTACTTGCCGTAACACCTGGCCTGCTAACATTACGATTCACTGGCTGTTGTTGCTGTTGTATCGGCTGTTGATCATCAATAACTTCATAATGCGCTTCGGTAAGATTTTTCGTTGAACGACGGTGGGCTTCCAGACTTTGTGATTCCGATGAATACGGATATGTGGCAACAAAATTTGTCGGTGTAACTTGACCCTGATTGATGGTGGTGTCTGCCGCAAAATCATTCAACTGATTGTGCTTCTGACCACATGGTGTCATTGGTGAGAGATCAGTAAATTCAGTCTTTGCCTCTGATTCCACGGAACACATACTCTGACACGAAGGATCTTTTGGTATGTGTGCTTCCTTTTGGGGACCTCCCTGTATTTTCATGTTTTCCACAAATCCATCATTCGCATGCGGATTCTGGGGGAAAGGAAGTCGACTGCGAATTGAGTTCTCACGTGGCCCAAAACGTTGAGCCAAATAGTCCTCATTAGTACTGCTGCTGCTACAATTGCTATGCTGATGTTGGTGGTGGTGATGGGGGTGTGGATGCCCATGCGAATTGTGATTGCCATTGGGCGGAGGTATTAATGTTCTCTGTGATGCCCTGGTATCCTCATAATAGTGATCATTCTTCACCGACATATTACAGCAGCTACTGACATCGGCAAAATAGACTTCCGATTCGGTGGGATCACTATTTTCTCCCGCTTGTTGCTCCATTTGTTGTGCAGCAGTATTGGTTGATTCACAGCTATTTTGGAATCCTGAATTCTCAACGCCACATTTATTTAGCTGCTGTTGTTGTTGCTGCTGCTGTGGCTGACCCTGTTGTTGCACATCTTCACTCAAAAGTTGAGGTTCGTGATATTCCTGTTCCTCCTCGGCATTGCCGCACACAGCATTCGAGGAGAAGACCTGTTGCACATTTACCCGTTGAGCACTTTGGGAATTTGGACCAATACTTTTGTTGCCCGGATCCAAACGTTTCTTAATCTTACGTGTGGGCAAGGTATTGGAAAATCGATCACGTTCCCTTATGTTACTACCGCAATCGCTGTCCGAAGGTGTATTTTCATATTCCACTTTGGATTTGAAATTTCCCACACTACCGACAGTGGATGCACTCGATCTGGCAATGGAATTTTGTTGACAACAGTTTGATGCAGCCGGTTGTTCCATAAATCCGGCATTTGGTGGTTCTGTAATATTGGCATTGACGATGGGCCCACCCCCGGTTTGATTGCCATTTGTGGTATTGGCAGCATGGTGATGTGGTGGCTGTATGTATTGGTAATAACCTCTTCTGGCTGGACTATTTGGATCACTATAAGGTGGTGGTGGACCCCACACGCCATAGGGCAAATTACCAGATAACACATTAAACTGTTGTGGATTACCATTGGCCACCGGATTGACATCTTCGGCAATGGCATTGCCAGCCATAACATTGCTATTCGAAAAACCATATTGTGAATCAGGACTTGAGGGAGTTTGGCGAAAACGTGAATTAGGATCCGGTGAACTACGTTGCCACCAACGATTCCAACTCCAGCCACTACCTCTGCCACGGCCCGTGGTAATTTCATGACGTCGACAAGTGTTGGTCAAACCCATCAGATCATCACCCCCAGGATTGGGGGAATAGAAGTTTCCCGGCGGCTGTGTTGACCAAAAACGTGGTTCGCTGCTTTCGTCCCAGGGATAGGCGGCAGCTTGCAGCGGCACCTGTCTATGGGCATGACATTGTTCGCAGCAACGACAGCCGTGTGGTGCTGCCGCAGCAGCTATATTTTGTGGTGGCATTTGTGGACGGGTGTAGAGGGAACGACAACGCAGCTCCAATTGTTCCCAATACATTTTTTTGCGTTCATGACTGAAAGTCGAAGGGGGGAGATAAGTTATGGGACTGGATGGTGTTAGATTTTTGGACTTACCTTAGCAATTGATAGACCAGCATACAACTGAATACAGCTACCAATACACCGGCTACAGATAAACCAAATATTGCTCTTAAGCAGGAGTAGAGGGAACCATGAACGACCCCACAATCGGAGAGTGAATCGAATACTAAACGAACACCTTCTGTAACAAATAAAAAACCATATAAGAAGTTGTGTTGATTTTCATATAGATATACATTATTCTAGGGGTCTTCTATAGTTAAACGATAAGACTTCTGTAGATAGAGGACCTACTCTATATATAAAATGATTTGATAAATCCTCCATACACGTCAGTTGGAAAAAATATAGTCTACCCGTATGATATAAATGTAACACATTCTACAGGTTTTCTGTGTATATGTCATAACTTCTTCTGTATGGAGAGGACCCTCTATATAGAGTATATCATTTATTGGTATAGAAACATATTTATTTCCTCCATAGATTAGAAAATTCTATGGAAGAACATATCCTCCTACACCACTTTATCAAAAAATATAACATTTTCAAAAGAACTTCAGCAGTAGGAGTGTTATAGAAGTTTGTCACAAGGTGTATCAGCAGGACACAAAACGAATAATTCCAATCCCTACCTTTATCCACACGATCCACTTGAGATTCTATCATATCCGAGTAACAGGTGCACGTTCTTGTCTTTTGGGCATATTCACATTCTCGCAAGGCCTGCAGACGGCTCATGTGTAATACTGTGGTGGTGACGGTGACCAAAGCACATGTCAATGCCGAAATTAGGCCACAGGCTCCGGATAGTTTAATTAAATAGCTGTAACGATTACGTCGGCGAGCCAAGCTCATTACGCAGAGGCCGGTTAAAATTAACTGAAATTATAAAAAAGAAAATCACATATTCAAAAACGATAAATTAAAATTGAAAGTATCTCAAACTTACCAAAGTGGCGGGTACAAAGGTGGGTACAGTTTCGAAATTTCCCACCGTTATGGTGTACGAATGTAACAGGAAGTAAACGCCTAAAAACAATAGGCCCAATATACAGGAGAAACCACCGCAAACCAAACACCAGACCACATATTTTTTGATCACCATACCAGGACGACCACGAGCACCTGCGAAAGGGATAAAAACAAACAGACACAAAGGATATTGTTATTATAATTGATTTTTTCGCTCTTCAGGCTCAAAATGTCAAAGGTCTAACTTAGTGGATAACCGCCATGTACTGCTGCATCACGTACTAGACCCCTGTGATGGGCATTTGGCTGCTGTGGCATCCATTGGCAGGTGGTAGGTGGTGGCATGCTGTATTGCATGAATTGCATTACAGGATAACCATGCATTTTGTTGTAAATGTCAAGGATGCTGTTGGCCACGTAAATACAACAAACAAAAAAGAATGGCTCACGGTTTAGGGGTTTCTATTTTTATTTATTTCTGAACAGGTTTCAACACTTTCGTATTCTTATCGCCGTTTTCAATAATTCTTTCACAGTAGTGGCCCTTTCATTTCTATTTTTTTAGTTTCTGATTTTTTCTAATTTTTTCCATTTGCACTTTATTTGTATCTATCCTTCTGATGGTTCTGTCATGGAATTTTGCCTTCGTTTCAAGTGAAGCTATAACAAATTCCTTCACTACTCTCTAACATTTGATATCCCTTCATCCCCCATCTCTTCGCTTTATCTGCCATCACATCACTATCATCCCTTGACTTTAGAGGAGCTTTCGAAGCCAGTCAGTCAGCTAGACAGTATGTGGTTGTTGGCCTTTAACTGCTACCCACACACCGACTTGACGACTTCGTAAGCTCTGTGGCCTGTGTCGCCAGTTAACATAATAATTTATTGGAAAGCTTTATGGAGAATATTAACATAACTTTTGCTTTGCACGCGCAGTGCTGTAGGGCGCATGTACGGAAGCAGGGTTTGAATAACTACATAGAGGAATAGAGGTATTTCAGACAAAATGGGAGTTCTTAAAGCGAGTAATTGTAATGGATGTGTTTTGATTCTTATTCATGAAACTTGACCTGACTGACCATGTAAGGTGTTAATCAGAAGCAGTTGTGTTTCCCAAATAGACCCAAGATATTCAAATGTTTTTAAAAAAATTACTTCGAAAATGATCAGGAATATAGAAATATATAAACAAAAATTCGTTCAGTGAATAAGATAGAGATATAATCCGGATACTTTGAAAGAAGTTTATTTTTTCTTTAATGTACTAAAATATTATGGGGTTTAGAAAATATATCTTTGTATGCAATCACTGCACAGTTCGTACCAAAAGATCTGATGAAAAAAGTTCAGGTAACGTGGAAGTTACCGACTTTAAAATCTATTAATATGGGGGTTTCACAATTGAGATAAATATTAATTTAAAAATCCTAATATTTCATAGATAGATTATTTGTTAAAATTTGCTACGATATATTCTGAATACCCAACATTAAAAAATACCCATACATTTTGGAACATGATATCCTTTCATGAGGATTATTTTTGGCCTGGGGTACGATTTTCTCTAAGACCCTATACGGTATACCTATATAATATAAATTTTCCCGTCAGTCACTCTCACTTACCATTCAATGATCCCGTTGCCGTTTTTGGTCTCGGTGGTGGTCTTGGTGGTAATGGCGGTCTCAAATCGGAATTACCACCCGGTACACCATTCGTCTCTTTCAGACATGCCTCGGTTATGGCCTCAGCATCACCATCACAATAAATATCTATGTTATTGGCATTGTGATAATTCAAATCATCCGCTATGGAGGAACTTTTATGGGGCAGGCCGCAAGATTTCCTTTTTTTTAATTAACAAATAAAAAATACATATATAAATTGAAGTTCGTTATCATTTGATTTCACAATAGACCGACAGACTGATGATAGTCTGGACAGTCTGACAAACATACTTATTTTTATTGCGTTCACAACGCTTCACAGTGCTGCTGTTATTATCCGATTCACTGACAGTAATCTCATCGGCGGTCAGCATAGCTTCGGATAAAACGAATTGTTGTTTCATTTGATCTTTGCGATTGGGCGATGATGTTGAGGTAAGATCTTCGTTGTCAGTTGATGTGGCTTTGCCCGCTTCACCCCCGCCGCCACCGACGACGCCACATGTACACTCCAAATCACAGTCACAGCTGGAGGCCTGCGATTTGAGTATTTTCGGTGAACTATCCAAGAGATTCTCTTGAAGGGATTCTGTCATTTTGAGGGCCTGATATGAATGATTGAGCAATGAAGTTTCCGATTGAGATTTCTGTGGCAAATCGGAATTGTTGGGCGGTTCGGAACTACTATTACTGCCACTGGCCTGCCGATGTACAATCACCGCTGCATCAATGCTATTCTGATGGGAATGCAGTCCTCGCTGGGAGTTCTGGGCTTTGTTGGTGGAATGTTGGAAGTTTTGTGACAATTGCTGTTGTTGTTGTTGCAGCATCTGCTGCTGTTGTTGTTGCTGCTGCATTGCGGTGCCGCAGGAACAGCTACATTGGCAGGTGGGTTGCAAAATGGGATTTGCATATTGATTGATGGCAGGCTGCTGATAGTATTGAATGTAGTGGTATTGGTGCGAGGGGGGATAGATGACATTTTCCACAGTGCTGCTGGCCAGTGATGGATTGAGGGAGGCCCTTTTCATGGCATTTGTGGGTACATTCATGGGTTTCCGTTCTGCTATTGAATTTTCCACTTCCATGTTGTAACAACGTCCATGAACTCGTTGCGTTTTTTGTGTGTCCGTTTAATTTTTGTTCTTTCCTTCTTTTTAATTTTTGTTTGATTAATACAATTTTAACACGCACATTTACACTTGCCCATACATATTTATGAAGTTTTTTTTTTGAAAATTAATGGAAATTTGTAATTTCCTCAGTAACAATGAACCTATCCAAAGAACGTTGAAGATGCAACATTTCCTGGAGTTGTTACATCGTTACGTTACGTTTTTTATATAAAAATTCAAAATCTTTGTAAATCTTGGGAGTTAAGTAGTGCACATTTGTTGTTGTTGTGGTGGTGGTTTGGCTTAGCTGATTGGTTGGGGTTCTTTTGTCGACAACTCCAGGCATTAACGGCTATGAAGAGCCAACATCAGAGGCTGTTGTTAAACCGGTTTCAAGCAGCTCCCTTTGGAAACCCGAACGCTTGTTGAGGAAATTATTTTTAAATAAATTTTACAATAAATCCATGGGAACACTTAATGAAATTCATTTTTACATATTTTTTTATTTAAACAAATTGAGTGATATTCACGGTCAGATTTCACACAAACAAATTTAGTTGTTTTTTCTTGTTTTTGGTTTTATTTTTTAATTGACCACCATTATGCGATCTTCAGCAATCTTCACCAATTTTATTAATCATTTGTCATGAGCATTTATTCCTTCTTTCTTCATTCATTTTTGTCGGCGTTGTTGTTGTATTTTTAATTTAGTTTGCTGAGGCTTGTTTGTTTCACTCCATTTATTTGGTTTAATTTTTTTTTATTTTTGTTGTATCTGCTTTTTAATCTTCTTGATCTTGTTGTTTCATCCAGAAGATACTTATTTTTGTTGTTGCTGGTTCGAAGTATCCAAAACCCAACAACTCTGCGGACGCTGTGATGTGATAAAAACAAAAGAAATAAACGCGTTTCGTTCGCCCGTTGGTGGGTCTGTTTGTTTGTTTCACCGAAGAAAAAAAATTATTGTTGAATTGAAATGAAAAATGAAGAACCGCCGCTGCCGAACAAATATACCGCGCTATGTCAACACAAACACACAACTCTTGAGCAACTGGTTCGTTCCCTAACTAACCAAATATTACACCTAACCGACGTAATCGTTTGCTCACTGACTCACTCCCAGTCCAGTCAAACATTCTTAAGATACAAAGAAGATTTCCAAACTGATCACCATGGTTTACTCTCTCTCCCTATGGTAACTTCTCTCTGGGAGGAAATTGAGCAACATGACCCAGGTTACTCTTTGTTATAAATTCTTTGCACAATTCTCTTAAAGGCCAATTTCGATTATTGAGAACTGAGAGTTAAGCATTTTATGGCTTAATGACATTACGAGGCTCGTATGAAACGGTGGGTGATTAGTGTGGTAATATGTACGCCATAACACCTGTTCGGAGGGCAGGTAGGTGGGAATAGAAGATTAAAAGTTTATGATTATATTTTGGGTATCATATTAGCAATTTACAAGAAAAATTAACATCTTCGTTAAACTGAAATCACCCTAATAATTCGTTAGATAAATTAATTGTGAATAATAATAAAATTGTTCCGATATAATGTTCAAAAGAATAGAATTATCATTATATGGCGGGAGTATGAGATATGTCGTTGACATTTAAATTCATATCTGAATATTTAGTCATTTAACCACCGATACATGTCACCAATATTATATGGGGTGTACAATGTTGGGACCAAATCGGACTCCCCATTCTTTATACCCTTCACCACATTGTGGTACAGGGTATTATGTTTGTAGCATGCAAAAAGAAACGAGATATACACATGGTTCCTTTTGAGAATATGCATAGACTCACTTTTTAAGCCGATTTATGCATGTCCTTCCGTCCGTCTGTCTGTCCATGTCAAATTTTAAACAAAGTACATGTCGCATTTTTGATTAGATTTTGGATGACATTTGGGACAGCTCATTTAATTGGCCCAAGGACGAACCCTATTGAAATTTGGAAAAATCTGTTCAGATTTAGATATAGCTCCCATATATATTTTCGTCCGATATATGGTAAATGGTGCACCAAAGTACCTATATGTTACCTATTAGCACGAAATTACGCACAGCGTACTGAATTGAGTCTAGAATGACATGTGACATGACAACAGATTTAGATATATATCCCATATATATTTTGGTCCGATTTTCGGTAAATAGCGCACCAAAGTCCCAATACTTCGATTTGCACGAAATTTGGCAGAGCGTACTGAATTGAGTCTAGAATGACATGTGCCAAGTATCGAGAAAATCGGTTGAGATTTAGATATAGCTCCCATTATATTTTCGTCCGATTTAATAGAAATGGTGCATCAAAGTCCCTATATATATTCTTCGATTTGCACGAAATTATAATTCCCATACCCCCCTCGTTGTAATTGTATATTTCATTCATTGGGCCACAGAGAAGAACAACTCAAATGTTTATCAAAGGTGGAGCATGAAAACCATAGTAGAAGAAATAATGAAAAGAAAACTGATCTCTTCTTTCTCTGTTCCGGTTTCTTTTGTGTGATTTACTCACTGACTTTGGCTACAGGGCCAGCATCAATGCATTCCTTTATATTGTCTTTGGTGAGCATTTTCTGGGACTACACCGTGTGTGCATTTGTCTAATCTAATTTAAGGTAAAGGTTGTTGTTGCTATTTTACGGTAACCATGAAAGAGGATCTCCTACGAAGCAGGTAACTAATAATTCAGCAGAAGTCCTTTTCTTTCATCCCAGTAATTCTTTGCCGCCGAATAAACGGCACACCAACAAAACTGAAAGTCTGCTTTGTTTCGTATAAATTTTAGACAACTCCTACTACTTCGAATGTGAATTGATTTTTTAGTCTCCTTTTGGGAATATTTTCTGGTTTTGGGTTTTTTGGATTACCTGTGTGTATGTGAAGTACACACACTAACAGGTATGGGTATCCCTTTTAAAATCGAAAAATTCTGTTTTATTTTTTCAAAATGTAAATTATGTTTATGTTGTATTTTTCATGTTGTTGTTAGAATGTTTCAATTTTGTAATTCTACAAAATCCAGCAAAATGAGACAACCATCTGTATTCCAGTAATGTTGGTACTCCTTTTAATTGCATTAAGGTCTTGCATACTGATATGAATATGGTTAAGGCATTCTGATCCCTATGTCACCACCAACTAGGGCTAATCACATTAATGTAAATTTAAAATACATTTTAACCCATTTTAAAAGTCTGTAAAGTGTTCAACGAACAAATCACAGCACATAAATTTGTTCTTATCCCCTACTCCGATACGTGATTAAGATTGTGACATATGACCAAATATCGGTTAAGGTATTTCTTTAAAAAAAAATGCAGAGAGTCATGGAAAAGAATAAGACTTTTTCTTAACCTCCCTCACACCGGCATTTTTCAGTATTTTAAATAACACAGTGGGTGTTAATTTGTACACATCGGTGAAGATATGTATGGAAATGTTTATGTTTAATGATTTGAATTTAATAATGAAATAAGTAAAACAGTTGTTTCAAATCACGATACCTCAAATGAGTACGCGTGTGGTTTTAAACGGAGAACATTGGCACATGAAAGTTGATTTTCAAAATTAAGATAGTACTTAAAAAATTGAGTGAAAATTTCAAAATCTCTCAAAGAATTCAAAGAAAACATCTTATAATCGAACTATATTTGATATTTGAGTAAAGTTACAAGGTGGTCGTTACAGATCCATACAGGTTTTCGTCCTCCGGCGCTTATAAAATTAGAATATGTGTTGCCTTCCTTCTCCGAATGCAAAATTTGCCAATTTTAAACCCAAAAGTCTAAGTCCATTTGAACAGCTAAATATTGACCTATTACCATGCAAAGGGAGATGCGTGCAATATTTCGTGATGTTCGGGTCATAATTGCGGGTCTAGAGTGACCAGAAAAAAAGGCGTAAATAAAGTATTTGGTCAATGGTGGTCTTCATTGGTCTATAACTGTGGCATATACCTCGTTTACAAAATATAAAGGACAGATCGACTCAGCTAGTCGGTATACTAAAAGGAGGACCTAGAACAGGCAGAGAGCTGACCTCTTTTACACACATATTACTCCCAAAGAGAACACGCGTGCGATGTTTTGCCTGATTCGGGTCTAGAACCAATATTTCGCTACGTTACAAACGTTTGGACTATGGAAGTTATAATATTGTTGTGTAGGGTATAAAAATCCACGTCGATGTGTGGTTCCTGAAAACATATTTTTTAAAACCCCACTCACCTTTGTGGTCCCTGGTGTTTTCTAAAGAATCAGCGCCTATGTGTGATTCACGGAAAGAAACGATGCCTATGTATTTGTTATTAACAAATACTTTTTTTTAAATGTGGTCCCTGAAAAAACTATAGTTTTAACTCATCGCATATATGTAGCCCCTTAAAAATGCAAAAGTTGCATAAAAGAGTTGCATGTATAACCCCGGCTTACGAAGCTGAAAGCACACAGTTTGTCAATAAGTAAATTTTTCAAACTACCTATTTTGAAAGCCTGGTATTTTTGAGGAATTGCCTGATTTCATTCATCATTCATTCCTAGTGTTAATTTTGTTATTATGTACTTAAAAAAGAGTGTTTTGAATAATATCGGGCGAACAAATTCTAACCTATGGCGGAATAGCTTCAGTTTGGCATTTGTTTGTCAAGATGTGATTTGTTTTTTTTTTTTAATTTAAAATTTTATTTTCAGTCGTATATTTTTTAAGCTATCGTTTATCATATTGACCGATTATCACGAAAAGATTAGCAATGTCCGGGTCATAATTGTGACCTCTAGAGCGACCAGAAAAACATACCAAAATTAAGCTGTCCAAAATTGCCCAATACCATAGAGGTCTTCTTTGGCCCGACACGAACTTCCATGCAAATTTGGTCCTTAACTGTGGCCTGCAATGTTTTTACAATGGACAGACAGGCTCACATGAATAGGTCGACTCAGTTAGTTCAGATATGAAGATCGGTATACTAAATGGTGGGTCTAGGACCCATATTTCGCTGCGTTACAAAATCTAGGGGCCAGACAAAATATATACGCAGAAGAAAATGTTAATGAACCGCCGTAACACATGTAAGACAAAAATGACTAAGAATTTCGGTTCCATTGAAAACCGGCCACCGCCACCAAACACACTCCAAAGATGTTTTTTCACTCTCTCTGGCTAGAAACCAGTATTTAAGGTTTTTATGAATACGTTCATAAAATGCAGAAATCCGGGCATTGCAAACACTTTCTGTAAACTGTTCATATAATATACGAATTATTTTTTTCTGTATAGTTGTGTATAATAAAGGCCGTATTGGCATTAAATAAATATTATCATATATTACAAAATAAAATCCACAACATTCTCAATCATAAAAATACAATTTTATTTAAACAACAAAATTTGTTAGGTTTTTTTCTTTTAACTATATAATAATTTCTAATTTGTATTTATATTTGTATTTATTTTTTTTTTTTTTTTCAGTAAGCATTTATTTGTATCAACTTAAAATTTGTGTGTTCAGATAATTGTTATGGATAAATTCTAAGAGTTTCATAAATGAGAGAAGCCATAACAAATCTCCAGGCTATTGAATATCTATGTATTTAGTCCAGTTTGGTTTATATTAAATTCTGGTTTCAAATCACAACTCCTCGAATAGCTAATAAAAATAATATAACAGAAAAACATGTGCTATTTTTTTAAAATTGTGTTAAGATTTTTTGGATTTTTGTAAATTTTCAAATTCAATAAAACTTGAGCCATTTAATTTGTGTTGATAGTTTACTTTTGCTTGGTATCAGAATAAATCTGCTAAAATTGAATTTTATAATAACTACTTAGAACATAAAACTACAGCTAAAAAAACGTTGAAATACCGTTAGAACATTTTCAGTTAGAAAATAAATACAATGTAGTAGTATGTAGTTTTGTTTTGAGTATTTTATAGTGTGGAGTTTCTAGTAGAGTAGATTTTTCAAATATTTGTGTTGGCCAATAGATTGCTAGCAAAAATTCTACGAAATATTTTATCGACTAAGCTACAAATAATACTTTTACATTAAATAATACGTTGGAATCAATTGCTTTGAAAATATATATATTTAAGTTCGAATACTGATTTAAGCACATACCATGAAAATTCCAATATCAATTAAAAAATCCATTAATAAAAGGTAAATTTTTGGAACCTAAACATATTTGCATTTAGAATTTTGGCCTATATAATATAGGGTCTTGAACGCCTTTGTTATCCTGTAACAAGTGATTCCAATATTTTAAATAAAATATATTTTATTATAAAAAAATCATATCTCCAAATTTTGTTTAGATCTATTTTGTAATCGATAAAACGCATTCTAGTTTTGGGCGCTGAGCTGTGCTGTTACCACCTATCAAACAATCGTTAGTGTCAATAACTCGTTTTGGCCCTCTTTTTAAGAGGGCGAAATTCATAATTTTGGCAAACAATTATTTTTGTTATTAATGACTATAAGTTTTGTAGTTGTTTGTATTTACTTTTTTTAACATAAGGTCATAATTCATATAAATATGTGTATGTATGAACATTAAGGTGTTCCAAAAATATATGTTATAGGATATTACAAACATCTAAAAATGTATATAAGTATAATAGGTTCTCTGCATAAAAGACTCCATGCTTTTGATGTTAGTATTTTGTTTTCGGTATAGAAAAATGGGTGAGAGAGAACATATGAAAACATCTCCAAATATAACCCATATTCTGACTTGGTCCACACATGAGTCGTTTATTATGATAGTGGTTAAGACCATTTTTGGTTGTAGAAAAATTTACAAAACATATTACGTTATTTATTCTATCATGTTTAAGAGCACAAGTCCACAAACAAAATTAATATCACTTAACAATATTTTTGAAACAAATCAAACGACTCATGTAATGGCCCCAACCTTTCCGAAATATGTTAAAGGTCCTTCTAAGCGTTCTCTTGAATCTTCCAAACTGATGGTCAAAAAGTTGAAATTCAATTCCAAAATTCTAAATTAAATATAAAGTTTCAATAAAAAACTATTTCCAAAACACCCTTATGTTAATGTTTCTCATCTTTTCTGCTAAATAATGGTATTGAATTTATGAAATTGTTTTACTTTTTATTTCCTCATTTTTTCAATGTGTATTTGTTTTCATCTTCATCTACTTATGTCTTGGGTTTCTTTATTTTTTTAGTTTTGCATTAAATAATCAATCATACTTAGCTAATATAATAATATAAATATATATTTATATATAGTATGCATATTTTATTCATTTATATTTACATATACAATTCACCACCATAATTATTTTACGGCAGAAGGGGATTGTTAAAAGCTAAAAAAATACTGTTTAATTTTTTTATTTATAATTAATTTTTTTTTCTTTTGGATGTCTTTGAGAGTTGCTTTATTTTTTCGTTTTTGTCTTTGATAAATTCATTGGACGTAAAATTCATGTAAAATAATTTAATTCCTTAAATTTGTTTAAATTGCATTTTAAATTTGTGTGTCTAATTAGTTTGTTGTTGTTTTTTTGTAAATTTTAATTGGCATTTATATCTTCACAATGTTGTGACGTTGGCTGCGGATTTTGACGATCGTGCTTCGGCTGCAGATGTGTATTGCAATCTGTCACCAGTTGACTCCAATTGGCATTGATTTTCACTGTTTCCAGATCTTTAAGCAACTGTTGTAGCTCTGGATTATCACTAATCAATTGTGGTGAACTTGTCTCCAAAAGTTTGGAAATGTTTTCCAGCTGATTGGCATAGATTCGTAAACGTTCATTTAAGCTGTCATTGTTACTGCTATTAGTGTTGTCATTTTGATTTGTTAGCTGTAAAAGAGAAAGAAAATAGATGGCATAAGGAAAAGAAATATATAAGTAAGGGGGTGTTCTAAGTTTATATTTCTGAACCAATTCAAATCGAACTTAACGCATGGTCTTTTATATTATTCTGATTGTTGTATGTGGCAAATTTCATATATATATATATATATAGTTGAAGAGAAAACACGTAGCGCAAGGTCTATTAAAAAGGTCATTCAGGAGGACCAGTTGAATATTAACTGCTTCTCAAGTTTGCGGTCAAAATGCATTATTGTGAATTGAATTCTATTATGCACACCTAAACACACTAAAACAGCTGACTATCGCTGGCTGGGCGACCTTATTAATAGATCTTAAAGTAGGTCTTAAGTTTATAAGAAAATTTTAAAGATCTATTATTAAGGCTATACGGCAATTGAAAATCAGCTGTTTTTTCGCAAGTCTAGTGTCAAAAATGTGTCATTTGTTTACGTTTTCACAATGGAAGTCAATTCACAATAATGGATTTTGACAGCAAACTTGCATTGAAACAGCTGATATCCAGACCAGCTGGTTGACCTTATTTATAGGCCTTGAACTTTTTAGTCTTTAAACAACCATTGCATGTGTATATGGTCTATATTAGACTTGATTTGACTTGATATATGCATCTAACCCGATTAAACCATCAGGAAGTCTTCTACAGAACTACGGTCTGTACATATACAACTTTTCATATTACTTTTCTATATATAAGCTCTTGCATAGGGTTTTTTAAGATAGAAAGCCTTCCAGAGGAATGTATAAATTCCAATAAATTTCAAAGTTAGTAGAACTTCTAGAGGTCGTCTTGTGATAGTGAACCTTTCTTAAAAAAAGAAGTCCTTTATGAGATATTCTATAGTTAGCGGAACATATTTTCTCTCCACAATACAAATCCACAATATCTTATATGATTTGAATATTTTCGAAAATTCTTCAGCTATGGAAGTATACATTTTCAATACATTTTTAATTCCAACATTATTAAATATATTTTTCCGAAAAAAAATATATTTTCCAATACTTACATTTATTTGTAAAATATTTCGCATAAATTGCTGAACACGATTATCCTTTAGCTGGCCATCGGATTGCCACATTTTCAATAAATTCAAAATGCCACCGATGTCGTCCTGATTATCGACAATTTCACTGCTCAGATTTAAATTCAAACCAGGAAACGGTGGCATTTCAGTGCTTGGCGATAATTTGCGATAATTAATGCACAGCGTACTCAGATTGCAAATATCCTCGGTTAGGCGCTGCACATCCATATTTTTGGAGGGAGTTTTTTCATTTTATTAAAATTTTCAATTTTTGTTTGGAGGGTAATTAATAATTTTTTAAAAAACGTAATTACAGGTATTTAATTCAGAAGTAGTTTAACTACGACCATATGTAAATTTATTTTTTTGATTTTTGTTAAAATGGTTATGATTATGTTGATGATTCGTGAAGAGGAGATTTCACTGGTGATTTTTATTTATTTATTTTTTTTTTTTTTTTTTTGATTTATTTATTTAATGAGAAAAATGTTTTCTTCGTCTATTTATGAACGTTTGGTTGGTTGTTGGTTTGTTAGGGTTGTGAAGGTGTTTTCGGTTATTTAGATGTGATGTAAGTAGGAAGAAGAAAAGAAAAAAAACAATTCAAAACAAACAAAAGTTATGGTTATTGGACCAAAACCGAACAAAATATAAATATGAGAATAAATGTGAGTTTTAATGAAATGCATGGTGTTCGGTTTAGCGGGTTGAAAAAGATGGCGATGATGGTAGTGGTGATATGATTTTCATGGTTGATGATTAATTATTGATTTTTATGGATGTCGAAGATGGTTGTGATGATGGTAGTGTGGTATGGTATTCATTCGATATATTTTTGTTTGAAAATTATGAAGGAATCAAAATTAATGTGTTTATAGTTGGTGTAGGTTCGTTCGACCGCTCGTTCATTCATTGGTTTCACAGTTGGAAAAATGCAAACATTCCATGGATTTTGTATTTGTACGATGCGTGTTGGTGATGAGGATGATGATAATGATTATGATGCCGGTGATGATGATGATAATAATTTTATGAACATGAAGAGGGATTTTTGTGATGATGATTAGTTATTAGTTGTTGCTCTTTTCAATTGGTAATGTTGCTGCCTTAACTAGTTTCAACTACTGCGTTATAAAGTTTTTAACTAATTTTAGCTATTTTTTGTTGAAATACAAAACATCCAGAATACAGTAACAAAATACATCATTACATTACATTAAATTACATTTCGACAAAAGTTTTTTTTTTAAGGGAAAAAACACAAGCAAATTAAATTATGCCAAAAATAAATTCAATTCAGAAATAAATCAAAAATGTTAGGAAAGGGCCAAAGTCGGGCAGAGTCAAATCTAAAATCTAAATTTGAACATCGTAATATTTCATCCAAACTTAGTTTATGTACGAAAATTAAAAATATCAGTCCACTTCTTGCAGCTTCAAGGGTTCTCTTTTGATATAAAATGTGTTTTGTAAGAAAATTGCTTAGAAAACATTCTAATAATTCTCGACATTATTTTTTAGCAAAATGTACCTAATTACGATGGGATATTCAAATGTATTTTACCACACAGACAATCATTGAGTTTAAAGCTGCTTATAATCGTTTAAATCCTCCAAAAATTGTGAAAGATAACTCATGGAGTGGACCGACGGGCACCATCTTCAAACTTGAAATATTACGATGTGCAAAGTTTGGATGGAATCGGTGCGACCCAGCAAGCATATACAAAACGACTACATATTGTCTTGATGGGGTATAAAACCAATATTTCGATAAGGCAGTATTTTGCCGTCGCAAAGTATATATACCCTCATTAGCCACAAGGCTGAGGATATAAATATTTCGTTTTTGTAACAGAACAAATTAAATATTTAACAACAACGTGTGTATATAGAAAATATTTTTGAAATACTAAAAACATCCATATATAAATAAAACTAAATTAAAAGACATTAAAAATAATGGAGAAATTATAATTGTTTTTTATTTCCAAAAAGAAAATATGTTGGTAATATTTTTAAAGATATATTTAATGTAGGTATGTGCATAAAAATATAAATAAAGTATATAAATATAATAATATACAAATATATAAAAGCAAATATGAATTTCATTAAAAGACAAAAAAATGATTGAAAGAAATTAAATTTGCTGGATTACATTAACTAAAAGGAAATGGTAAGTGTCGTTTGTATGCATATGTGTGGTTTGTATGTATTTTGGAAATATTTATGTATATTTTATATATATGTTATGTACGTATATACGATTATTGTAAAAAACGAGAAGTGCAATTTATAACTGAATTGAGACCAAAATGTGAGGGTGTTTGTTTTAATGGAAAATGTAGTCATTGTTTTTTTTTCAATTTTGAATTATATAATAATTCCGAATTAATTGTACAGATCCAAAGCATTCAGATTCAGATTTTAAAATAAAATTATAATCTATATTAATTTATGTTACGATTATCAATTTATATAGGCGACATTTTAAAGAATATAGTCTTGGAAACTTCTTCGATAAAATCTAACCAGAAATGTATATTTTTAGCAAGTATAAAACTTGTATAAAGGACATTATAAATATACGAATAATTTGATAATCTAACATTAAATTATTATACAAAATTTTATTTTTTAATCTAAATATGAATTTCAGTATATATTGAAATGTAAATCCCAAATGCCTTTGAATTACTTTCACAAAAACAATGACAACATTTTCCCATTTAAAAAGTACATATTATGTGCCTAAAACAAAAAATACAATTTATAGTCTTAAAAAGAAAAAAGAAAAAACAATAATTATGTTTTTTTTTTTTTAATTTTACAATAATTTGTCATTTTAAATACTTTAAAATAAAACAATAATAACAAAAAATAAATTCACACTTTTTTCTCTGTGTGATGTCTCATAAAAGGGCGAGGAAAGTTTTACTCAGTCGTCACTAAACTAATTATTAGTTACTTAATATTTATAAAAAAAAAATACAAAACAAGTTTCTTTTTTTAATTTTCTTTGTTTGTGTGCGGGTATGTTCGTGTGTTTATGTGTTTTGGAAAAAATACTTAAAAGTATGAAACAAAAATACAAACAAGCATTTCTACAAATTATGAAAAGTTGCATTTTGTTTTGTCGATCATTAGTTTTTTCTTATTTTTGTAGTTAAAATCTTACATCGATTTCATTACGGTGACGTTGAATTTCAGCTTTGGTATTGGATAAATCATTATTTTTCAACATCAGTTCCTGGGTGGCATCCATTAGCTCATCTTGCAGTTTCACATTGACATCTTGCAGATCTTTGATTTTCTCGAGCATATCTTCTTTGCTTTGTTGTAGTTTATTTCTAAAATAAAATGAGAATTAGTAAGAAATAAAAATGAATTAAAAATTATTTACAACTTACTTATCCACAATCAATTGCTGTATACAATTATCATTATCCAATTGTATGAGCCGTAGGACCTTTAACAGCTTCGTTATTAAATTATCAACTTCAATAACTTGATCGACCACAGCCTGGGTAGCTGAATACTCAACTAATGAAGGCATTTCGGCAACGGAATCATGGCAACTAAGTTCTTCGGTGCAACTGTTATCACTGTAATTTTGAAATAACAAAATAAATTAGAAATTTCTCAAAGTCGATATCAAATGTCCGAATTACTTACTTCAATTGCAAATTCATTTTATTACTATTCAGAGCACTAACTTGTGACTCCATGTTCTGACGATTGACAATGGCCTGTGACAGATTGTGCAACGAATCGTCACCAGTGGTGCTGATGTTCATCAATTCCGAGGGTATATCGATTTGTGATATCATACCCGTGCACGAGGAAACCATATTGTGTGAATGTGAATCGGGCATATTGACATCCTCCAGGACATTGTCCATCATTAGGCAGGGTTCAGTTTCGGAATCCAGCATTTCTGTGGAATCTGAATCATCTGCAAGGCAAAATAGATTTTATATTAATTTTGATTGTTATAAGTTTCTTGATTTTTACAAGTGTTAGACAATTTAAGTTTTGTAAAAAAATAAATCCCTCCTTACCACCATTGTGATCGCCATGTGCCTGATGCTGCTGTGATTGTTGACTACTACTGTTGTTGTTATTGTTATGACCATTGATATTGTGATGCTGTGATCCGTTGCTACTACTGTGACGTTTATTCTGTCTAACCAATAGACGTTTACCCGAATGCGTTGTGGCATTTCGTATGGCACTGATGACAGCCGCAATGAACGACTGATTCCTTTGTGGCGACAATGAGCCATCACTGGCCGAATTCAATTGGAATTGTGTATTGGATGTTTGTGCAAATTGTAATGTTTGTGGATGTTGGATGACATCATGGCCGTTGAGCGTCAGTTTCAATGAACTCGTTTCCAAATCTAGGGATGGTTCACCGCTGGCATTAACATTCGTTGAGGCATCAGCCTGGAAACCAATATCCTGGAAATAAAAATAAACAATACGATTAGTATTTAATTTATTTCGAACATTGTGTGTATTTAATATTCAACAAGCCAAAGAAATTTTTTAAATGCTATGTTTTCGATTTTTATTTTACAAACAAAACTACGCCAATTTTTGGTAATTCCCATTATAATGCTGGAGACTGTAGATAATATCTGATGATGATTTATACTATATATAACATTATTATTTTAATGATGTACATATGTAGGAAATTAGGTGTGATTGGTGAGGGCCATGCAAATTTATTAGAAAAAAAAAAACGATTTGATTTTACATCTTCGAATCCGTTCTAATTTCAAGCTTACAATAAATTCGCTTTTGCTCTTGCTTTAGAAACATTAAAACAAACAACATGAGAAAACATTTGCCACCCACCCCTCTCAAACTCAATGTACAGTGTCAGTGTAAGACTTGTTCATCTTCACTGCTGCTTAGGTGCTGCAAATATATTATATATTGTTTTATGGGATAAGTTTAAGAGTTATTATAACAAAAATTATATATGAAGTTAATTTTTTTTTTTGGTTGAAATTTACGGAAAATAAAAGCTATTCGTAACGATGTCTATATTTCAATACGATTAAAATAACATTACTGTAATATAATTAAGTTGAAGTGAGAAGGTTGGGAAGAGACATGTTCAAATTTTAAAGCTCAACATAATGTTACAATGTCTGCCCCAACAGTTTTGAGGAGACATTGGTCTAGAGAAGAAAGGTCAGCAATTTTAATTTCAATCTGCAGAGGGCTTTGAACAGCCAAAGTGGTGTCTCAATTCCAATATTTTGTAGTAAATGTTCCAAAAATGTTATTTTCCCAGCAATATCTAATGAAGTATTGTAAACTGGAGATTGATTACATGACTTAAATATATTTTAAGGAAAGAAACTTTAATATCCCACACCATGAGGAAAAGCTATAACAGGAAAAAACCTAGTTAAGTTCGACAATTCTTCTATTCTATAAAATATAGTTGCTGTCAACAAAGATATATATTTACATGTGTTTCTGAAGGTTTCATTCCTTCGAATAACCTGAGATTATTTATTTAAAACATTAACTATTATCATTCATATATGTTGAAAACATATTCTCAAAATCCAAATGTACATCTCTATTCACCCTTTAAAATATTATTTAAAATCTAAGGTTATAGCCCTGCTAATAGACAAATATACCGCTTTTAAAACTACCAATCATTCTAAAATTAACACGACCACAATAGACGTACATACAACTTATAACAGAAATCTCGGGTTTACATTCTTTATCGATTTACATAGGATAAAATGAGTATTTCAAAAGAGTAATAATCTCTCTTTTACATGGTGTATGTATTATAAAAACTATTACATTTTTAAATAATTATAAAAAAAATTCTAAATTTTTTCCAATTCTTCCAAAACCAACCTCCAAATCCTGTTCGGATATATTATATGAAAATACTAATTGTTCGACCAAATTATCGAGACGGGCATGTAGGCCAGATAAAGCCGCTGTGGCGCCGGAAACGGAAGCATTTTGTTGCATGGCCAGCTCTTTAGACTTGGACTCCATGGCTGCAAATTTAGTTTGAAGCATGCGATTTTCTTGTCTGAAATGAAGAATCGAAAAAAAGTGAATCGATTAAACCCATTTTCCATCAACAACCCATCTAATCGGTAATCCTACCTTCTTTGTTCATTAAGTCTCACCAAGTGACGGCATTCATCGCGCAACACTTTAATCTGTTCATCTTTACTGGCCATCTGTTGCTTACACTGTTGGTATTCATTTTCCAAATCCTTGAGAGCATCACACATGGCCGCCTTTTCATGTTGGAGGAAATCTTGCAACTCGTTGGATTCCTGTTCCAGAGCGGTCTTCTCTTGGAGCAGACATTCTTGTTGCATAATGGAACGTTCCATTTCGGCCTGTAGGGAACGACATAGCTTGCGCAGTTGGCCCACTTCCTGTTGACGTTCCAACAATTCGTGTCCACTCAGCTGAATTTGAGACTCCAACATAAGCAAACTGTCTTGGTTGTTCTCACCCTCGTCGGAGGTGGGTGTGCTGACATCCAACATTTTTCCATTACCAGCAACTCGAGCCAAATTTAACAGGCCCATAACACGTTCCGTGTTCAGATGCAATTCCCTCTGCATGGCAAGTTTTTCATCACGTTCACGTTTGAGCTTGGAACTCAGCTCCTGTTCACGTTGGGCCAAGTGACGTACCTCATCGCGCAGACGTTCCAATTCTTGATCCCTTATATCGACTTGACTTCCCTCGTCTTTTTGTTCAACACTGTCGACTGGACGGGCCGTCGATGCCACTCCAGCAAACGCCTTTTCCAAATCGGAACTGGTCAATGCAGTCTGCGAAGATGTCTCGTGATAAATTCTAGTTTTGCATACTGGCTGTGGAAGTTTCTTCGAACTGGAGGCTGTCTGTTTGGCCAATGTCAGGGAAGCTGTCATGGATTTGTTTTGTGTTGGTGTACTGCTGTTGGAGTAGGCCGTTGTGGACAGACTCTTGCGGGAAGTCATAATCACCGAGGATGTCATCCGTGATTCACGGGTTATGGAGCTGCTTCGTGAATTACGTCCAGTCAAGTCTTCCACTGACTTTTGTTTACGCCTCCGCGGCATAGTACTGTAGGGACTGGAGGCACTTGATTTTATTTCCATACTGGCCATCATGCTGGAACGCATTTTTAGTGAACCCAAATCGGGAGTAACCGACAAACCTCTTCTGCTCTGGTTGGCGCGAGTGGAACCCACGCCTGGCCAACGGCCGTCATCGGGCGTACAGGGCGTGCGTGCCCTGCTCAAGGAGGGTGTACGCTGGATCAATCGTTGCATGCTCATTGAGGTAGTACGACTTAACTGGCTGGGTAAGGTATCTGGTTTTTGAGGCTTTGTCGAGGGTGTCGAAGTACGTGACTGACCATTGCTGCTGTTCGCGGCCGATTGCCGATAAGGAGTCAAGCAACTGGAATTTGTTGTTTTCGAATTAACTTTTTCGTTTAAACGCTCGCGCATCTGCTGGCTGGTACCGTGGCTAGGACGTGGCAAGGATGCGGCTCTTTTCAAACCACTGGAACGTGTCTTTGACGGTGTCGAGGCATTGGCACTGGACGAATTTAGCGATCCCTCTTTTGTGGCAGATTTTGCGGAACTCTTCATTGAAAGGCTTTCATGCATCGACGGCTCAAACATGGCCACTTTCTTCTTAACATTATTGTGATTAGGCACACGGCGTACTGCCATACTGGTGGGACCAGCCACCGAACTACTCTCACTGCCGTTCTCACTGCAACACTCGTAGCTGTTCAACGAGGAACGGCCATTTAGGTTCGTCGTTGTAGTCGTGGTTGTCGCGGCCACCATGACACCGTGCTGACCCTGTTTCATGTCGTAAACATCGGAACTGCAGCTGATCATACTCGAGTTGCAAGACAAATTGACACCGACTGGTTCATCTAGGCCACCCTGGCTGCTGGCATAGCCACCGCTTTGGCTGCTCAGAGCCCTCTGCAGAGTGACATTAACATTGCTGGCAATTTCAACGCCACTGTCACTTCCATCGCAATAATTGTGGTGGTGCGGATTGTTGTGATTTAGGTTTAGATGCAGCGACGCGACATCGGCATCAACATCAGCATCGACGTCCTCATTGTCGACAACATCTAGGCTATGCAGTTGCAGGCCATTCATTTTGTTGCCCAAGATGTCCTCATAGATGGCGGCACAGGAACTGTCCAATTTAAGACTTTCATGGCCGTAGTGATCGGCGGATGTGGTGGCATCGTTGAGAAGTAGTTTTGAGTCCAAACTGTGACAATCGCGTTCGTCTTGTGTGAAAAGTATGGCAGACATGGTGTGTTGCGACAGTTGTTGTCCGGTCTTGTGAATTGTTGTGTGTTGAAGAAAGAATTTTCGAAGCGAGGAGAGGTTTACGATTTTCTCTGGATCAATTAATATGCATTGTTTTGGAAATTTGTGTTTTTCTGATCTGCAAAATAAAGGAAATTGAAATTAGAGATTTGTTTGGAATTGCTGGTAATTGTTAGAAATTAATTGAAAGATTTTAATCATTAACAAAGTATGTTAAGTTTTGAATTTTAGTTTTGCCTCTTTTATTGATAACAGCCTGAAATTTTAATATATAGCTGACCTATTGTTGATAGCTGCCCTTTAGAAAATGGGATGTATATTGAGTATGTCTGAATATCTTGTTTTTTATCTGAAAAGCGATCTCGGCAGATGGTCTCCTATTTAGGGAAGACCTCCAAAACAATTTAGGTTTGTTGTATGAGTTTTCTATAAAATCAATTAAAAAATATCGTCCTATGTGTGTAGATGACTTCTGAATGGACATATGTCAATAAGAGAATTGTGTAACATCATCTATGCATCGAAGAACATTAAAAGGTCTCCAGTATATAGAAGGCATCTAAATGGTATTCTGCATGAATAGGATTTTCTCTATAAAATACCTCTTCCACATAACCGAAATTCTTGTCTTCTGTCTAGGGAAGTCTTTTGCAAGGCTTTCTAGAATAGCCTTCCATTTCAAACTACAAACATATTTCTTTTGGTGTACCCCCAGCATTTTCCGCGTGTGATTGCATTGCTCAACGAACGCATTTTGCGGATGTATTGTTACCCCCACCGAATGCAATCAACACAGCAAGAAGAAATGTAGGAAACCAGCAAGCTGGCAGCAGGCAGTCAGGCCGGCATTTGCAATAAAACCAGAAACCTATAACACAAATACATGATCTGTTTTTATTATTATTAGAGGCAACCACGCACTTTTTGTGCAACAACAAAATTCGCCGTTGGTAGGAGCAGGCGATTGCGAAGCATATGTTTTATTCATAGAAACAAATTTATTTTCTTTTCCTTTTTTGCAAATTGTTTTTCGAGTCATCAGCATTGCGACCACCACCGCCGTCATCATCATCAGCACCACCACATGTTAGCACGAAAATACCAGAGAAACGACTTCTCTAATTCTGCAAATAGAATTTATAATTTCGACGAAATCTTTATAAAAATGAACGGGAAGAGAGTGCTGAGTTAGGAAAACATTTCAAAATTTGCAATAAAAATGCATTTAACAAATTCTTGGCCTCCCGTCCACACGGGCCTTGGTGAATGTTGTTTAGATTTTACGGTCAAGTTGGGAAGTTGCGGCGATGAGTTGCCTGCTGGCTCGGCATGTTTTCACAATTATGCTGCCGATGCCCAAGATGATGAATTTTGAAAGAATACCCCACATTGAAAAAAATAAACATTTATAAACCAAAAACAAAAAATTGAAAGGAAAAACAAAATTAGAGTACAAACAATGACCGCAAAATGTAGGGCCTAAAGTTAAATAAATAATAATGACAAATGTAAACAGAACCCAAAATCACACCCGACACACAGATGCTCTACAAAACAGGCGGAATATGCAGCAACAACATCAGAAACTAATGATTGTCGTTGTTCGGTTTCTTTATGTCATTTTTGTGTTAGTTGGCGGCATTTCGAAAAGGCATTTGCATTTTTTTTTTTTTTTTTTTTTTTTTTTGTAGTAAATATTTTTATGCAATTTTGTGGTTTGCATTCGGAGGTGGTTTAATTTTTTTAATGACTAAATATATTTTTTATTGCCAAAAATAGAAATATATATTTCACTTGTAATTCATAACAATTCATTTCAAATTCATTCATATTCTTACCAAAAAAAAAATTTTGAATTTAAAATTAAATGAATTACAAATCAAATGTTATGAATTTCAAATGGAATGCTTTGAATTTCAAATCAAATGTTATGAATTTCAAATGTAATGTTTTGAATTTCAACTCAAATGTTATAAATTTTAAATGGAATGTTTTGAATTTCAAATAAATTTGCTCCTACAGATTACAGAAGATCTCTGCGAGATTTTCAGTTCATAACAAACCCTTAGATAATTCGCGGTCTATAAAATGCATCTGGATGTATTGGCCTTTATCGATTTACAGATAATCTCTAGAAGGTTTTCTATCTATACAAGATCTTTATATAGTTTTGTACCTGTGGAAAGTTCCCAGACGCATAGAAGTGTGTCTTTGTTGGCCATACATGGTCATCTGAAAAAATATTTTATATATTAGCAGACTACAAACATGTCTGTGGTCGACGTCAGGATGATTTTCTGTGGGAAACTCTGGTAACGGTTTCCTTCTGCATATGTAATATATAATGCGGAATACTTAAAGATGGTCTTCATTACGTAGATTAGCATGGACCTTCATCTACAAGATTATATATGAATGATATGTACTTGTAGCTGATCTCTGTATAATTTGCATACTGAAGTCCATTGTAAGGTATTTAGAAAACAGTTTATCTACAAAAGACCTCTGGACTTATCTTTGGTGTGTAAAGAAATTCTATAGATCAATATAGCACAAATTTGGTCAAGGTATTTTAAAGCCTCTGCGATTGGAAAATTAAGGTAGAACATTTAAAATACAATAGTATAAAAAAGTCCACTGAAATACCCAAAATTATAAGGGCTATGTCGGGGCAAGACCTATATTAAACATTTTAGAGTCCGCAAATATCCAAGAACCCGAAATGCCAAATTTGTGCCACATCGGTTGTAAAGAGCAACTAGAACCTTTACAACATTTTTAAAACTCACTAATATATTTGGGGTTTGGAGTACTCATTGTTTTTTTTTTTTTTTTTTTTGGTTTGTATTGGGTGTGTTTTCAAATCCTGATATTATTTAGTTACATTTTTGCCACAACTGTTATGGTCCCACTGTCAGTCCAATTTTCGTGTGTATGTATGAGTATGTATACCCACTAACCAGGCGACAAACAATTGCAATTCGATTTGGTTAAATATGACAGATGGTGTTTGTGGTAAATTACCAAATCAACGAAAATACGGCGTATGGCCAAAATGAACTTACTTACAGCATTTTGGGCACACATACTTACATACATTTTTATTTAATATATTATTTGTGTTTATATGCTACATCATCACCATCATCATCATTATTGCCATGATGATTATTCGTGTAAAGTACAACAAATACAATTAACTTAAATTCAAATCTAATTTTTATGTTTAGACACAACAGCAAAAACATTGAACAACAACAAAAACAACAACACCGAAATCAGCACATCAAGGTATACAAAGGCATAAAACCGAAAACAAATGAAACGGAATCAGGTTGTTTAATGAATTGAGTTCATGTCAAGATTAGGTTTTTTTATTCTTCTCCATATGGCTGTAAGTAGATATACATATATAATAGCTATACATATGTGAGTGTGTGTATATCATGCAATCGCACAGAATTAGCTGTGATTTTTTCAATAAGACCACCATCAGTAAAAACAGCAATAACGACATTAACAATGGATGGATGGCATCGTTAGTTAAAGAGCCTCACAACACAATGGCAGATTTATTTTTTTCTTTCATCGTCATCTTCTTCTTTAGTTCCCACTCTTTTTTGTTAATAATTAATTAATTATTTATACGACCGAAATTTGTCAATATCTACTTAAAAAACTAATTGAAATTCAAAACAATACTACAATTATTATTTTGAACAATGACACATAGCATGCAAAGGCTAAGATCCCCCACAACAACAATGCATTTGTTGTTGTGCTACACCAAAACTCCCCTTTCGCTAATTCATTGGAAAATAAGTGGAAAATGTGGGTGGTTTTTGTTGGATTTGATTTCCATTGGAGTTGTAGGTGTGTTGCAGGTGGGTTTTGGTTGAAGTTTCCCTCCCCAGCTGGCGACTTTCTTTTTGTGTGTGTGGTCGTTCATCACACACGTGAATTCGTTTGTTTTTGTTTTGGGGGAGAGGAGTAAATTAGTTTGACTGCTGACGTTGTTTTTGTTTTGTGTTAATTTGTGGCATATTTGGGACAAATGTCATGCATTCCTAGTTGTTGTTGTTGTTGGAATTCATTTAACTTTTACTATTGCGTTTTGTGGGAGAATGGCGCCCAACAAAAAAATTTGTGTTGTATATTTATGTGCATACAATGTTAAAATGGATTATGTCAAATGACGTGATGTTAGTCACTAATGAAAAAAAGGCCTCGAAACCAAAAAGGGAGAAATCTCCGAAGAATATAGAAATCAAAGAGTTCGTGATTTGTATTTTACAGATTTAATTATTTAAAAAAAATGAAAAGTTATAATTGAGGAAGGTAAGCATTGTAAGTTCCAATATATTAAAATGCTAAAAGTTATATTTCTTGAATAGTATATTTTGAAGAATAATAACACTGTAGCACATTTTTCAACTTCAAAATCTGGAACCAATCGCGAACGACAAAATCTGAATGCTTTCGATGGTGGAAGATATTATTAGTTAATGCTTTTGTTTTAGCCAGGTTTTAAGTTTTTCGACTCGGGTGGATAATACGTAGGCGTTATTATGTGCACTACTCGAAATATTGATTTTTCACTCATCAGCAATGTTTTACCACTTAATAAGATCTACAAATTTTCCCTTGTATGGTATGTTTCACACTATAAAAAATGAAAAGAAAAAATACAAGAATAAATTTGGCTTTGGAAGAGCTGATTATAATAATTGTTTATAATTTTTTTCTTTTAGTCTGAAATTCTGCTATGAGACCTCGAAAATATTAAATTCCAGACCCAGTTTTACATATTTTTTAGCAAAGTGATTGTCACAATAAATATAAATAACGGAATTCCCCATTATGAGGGAGTTATAAAATACATTTGATAAAACCACAACAACATCGAACGAGTCATTTTTAGCGACATAATATTTTATTTTCCTAAGAAACGCACTCTTCAAAATATTTACTGATTATTTTGTTGCATTTATGTAGCAGTATTTGTTGTTGTTGTTCTTGTGACTATTTGCTTATCACATAAGCGGGAATTGGCACTCTCTCTTTTTTTATTTATTTTTATGTTCTTTATGTTTTATATCTTGACAAAATAAAAAGAAA